GGTTAAGTAAATAAAAATTCAAACGTCAAGAGGCTTTAACACGTAGTTCAATGGGGGAGCTAAGGTTGCCAAACTTATGGAGGGGGTGTAGATGCACATGACGCGCTTTCATATGACATACATACATATAAAAACAGTTTGTATAACGTGCTAACATGTGAAGTTCAGGCATACAATGTACAAGCATATGACGTAAATGCATATGACGTGCTTGCATATGACGTGCATACATATTAAGAACGGGTATATAACGTTCTTACATGTGAAGTTCAGGAATATGAAGTACAACCATATGACGCAAATGCAGATGGCGTGCATACATATAAAGAACAGGAATATAACGTGCTTACATGTGAAGTTCAGGCATATGAAGTACATGCATATGACATAAATGCATATGACGTGCTTGCATATGACATACATACATATAAAAACAGGTATATAACGTGCTTACATGTGAAGTTCAGGCATATAGTATGAAGTACATGCATATGACGTAAAAGCATACGACATATACATACAGTACATATAAAGAACAGGTAAATAACGTGCTTACATGTGAAGTTCAAGTACATGCATATGACGTAAAAGCATAGGATGTGCTTGCATATGACATACATACATATAAAGAACAGGAATATAACGTGCTTACATGTGAAGTTCAGGCATATGAAGCACATGCATATGACGTGCTTGCATATGACATACATATATGTACATATAAAGAACAGGTATATAACGTGCTTATATATGAAGTTCAGGCATATAGTATGAAGTACATGCATATGACGTAAATGCATATGACGTGCTTGCATATGACATACATACATATAAAGAACATGTATATAACATGCTTATATATGTGGAGTTCACGCATATGACGTAGATACATATGATGTGGTTGCATATGACGTGCGCGCTGTGTAGCCCCCCCCCCCTTGGGTGAACCCAAAAAGTGGGCTTTTTATCATTACTGGGCCTTTTAAGGCCTTATATTTCAATTTCAGGCCAAATTTTGAAGAAAATGGGCCTCAAATTGGGCCTACTTTGGGGTTTTAGGGCCCCCCCTTCCCAGATCCGCCCTTGAGCCATACACATGGATGGACATGAAATCTGAGGGTAAGATACCCGTGGTAAGATATCGTTGGCAAACTACATATACGTTTCCCCTTCCCACTGAGGGTTAATACCGAAAATATTTTTAGAAAGAGAATTTTTCTGTTTACAATGGGCATTTACTTTTAGTTTTCTTACAAGTATGTTGAAATGTAGAAGAATTAATTGGTAGAGAAATGTCTGTAGTCAAAATAGACGTACTTAATCATTATCCAGAGCTTCTAGACGTTTTAGAAGCTTTCAAACACAAGGGCTAACATCCCAAACTCCACTCGCAAGTCACGGGGTAAGCTGCGGCCAATCAAAACAAGAAACGTTGAGTATATTGACAGAATTGTGGGGTTGAAATGTTGTCGAAACTTTATTCTTGATTTGAAACTAAACATGATGCGATTTTAGCACATCACATTTTGTTTTGAAAAACAGATCAAAGGAACTCACTCAAAGGAAATAAAGACAATGAAAACGATGATAAATAACATTTTACTTAGCAGTAAACGATTCTCTAAAGAGTTACTTTAATTCTCAAAGAAAACAACAAGTCTCTAATATTTAAGAAGAGACCAACCCAGATATTTTCCTGAGTACTTCGAGTGTTACTTTACATACATTGCCTGTTATCTGGACGATCCGATACAACAACGAGTATCAGAAATGTTGTATCTGGCCAATCTGATACCGATCTCCCATTTTCTTCGGAAATATACGCCCAATCCTGAGCGATACGTGTTTCCGTGTCATTAGCAATTACAGAAAACGTTGTGACGGCGTTGTTATCAGATTACTATACATTTTCAAAACGAACATATTAACTCTTGAAAAACCAACCCATTCCGAAATTTCATCATTGGTCCAATGGTATTTTAAATTCATCTCATTGTGGTTCGAGCGAAACTCGATGGGACGTATGTCGAATCTATGATGTAAGTGCGTCTCATCGACGTTTAAAAGGCATTCGAATTTACATTTAGGTTTGTAATTTTTGAAACTCTGATATTTGTAATAAATAATAATGTGTAATTATAAAAACTTTATTGTACACATTATTTATTACTTTATGTCATTTATTTGGAATAAGGTAAATAGTTCTGACAAAAAGAACGGGATTTCACATTTACGTCCATAAAATGCTCACATTTTAGTCCGTAAATACTCACATTATGGTCCACATAATGTGCAAATATGAAATGCTCACATTTAACATGTTAAACTAGTTGGTAATATGCTCACATTCATACGCTAACGCGTGTTTCTGATCTCCCCAGACAAATAACATAAATTCTGCTTTGATGGCCACATCTCTGGAAGATACAAACGCGAAACAAACTGACAAGTCTAAATGAAAGCCCATTAAATTGATACCCTATACCCGTATGATCTAGTTAGTACAGAAAGATAGCGGCCTGCAGTATGTCCACAGTTTCAAAATAATCTTTCGAAATGCCGTAATATAGACAATCTTCTTTAGATCTACGAACGTATAATTTTCTCGAATGAACGTGCGTATTTATTGTTTTGAAAAAGAAGATCGGCTAATTAAATTTTGTTGTCCTTAAGTTCAAGAGATGTGTATATCATAAATCTTGAATTAACCGGATGTCGTAATTCAATGGAACACATACAGTTAAATTATACATAAAAATTGCAATTGCATTGTATATCCTTTTGCGACAGAGTGATGAATGAAATCAATAGCTCTAAAATGGTGCAAGTTCACAGTGGGAAACGTTACTTTTTATGTGTTATGCAGATATCACAAGATAGCTTAGTAAAGGCTACACAGTAGTACCATGGTACCATTCAATGGAGAATGGTGATGAAGCTAAATCACTTACTGGTTCATTTACAATGCTTCTCCAAAGTAGAATTATAGGAGCATTCTAACGATCTTGGTGACAGAGAGGGAGGAAATAGACGTAATCTGAGGTACTCGGGTTTCTCCCGGGTTCCCCTGAGACTCTAGGAAGATTTATGTGTTTCCGACCTTAGCAAGTTCACTAGCCTCTATCAGTGATCGCTCACAACCTACCGGTGCTCAAACTCCGGACGTGTGCTTTGATAAAACACAGGCTTGTCAAATGGGTAAGGCTAATATTCAGTTGGAGACACGCAAGTTCAATCGGTGACAGGCTAGTTTGATGGGTGACAGGCTAGTTAAATGGGTAACACTTACATGTTAGTTCACTGGGTGACAGGCTAGTTCAATGGGCGACATGCTACAGTAGTACGACAGGCTAATTCAGTGGGTGACAGACTGATTCAGTGGGCAACAGACTAGTTTAGTGGATGACATGCTATAGTTCAGTGGGTGATATGTTATTTCAATGGGTGATGCAATCGGATTTCCAGGGATTTTTTCGAACTTTTTCAGGTTTTCATGCATCCATTGAATTGTACAGGATGACTCAGATGGCCAAAATAATAGAAGCTGAGGACAGGGGTTGAAAATACCCATCAACGACTACTTCAAACTAGCCTACTCTATAGACAAGGTTCCTGTTTTAACAATGGCAGTTCCACCATGGTCAATGACAAAGACTGTACTCCTTTCGCATCTCAAAACACGAACTTAGGCGCCTTGTATATTTTCATAGCAAACACAACAGCAATAACAGTTGAAATATCGCAACTTATTTACGATTACTTGTTTTGAGAAAAAACATGGAAAGAAATTGCTCGAGAATGGATGATAAAATAATGACTTTTTAACTTGTAAAGGGAGAGTGCTTATTCGCATCTGTTGTCATATTTTACAAAACTTCGTTTATTGTTGTCATGTATGAGAATTGCAAATCGGAACATGTTTATGTTAAACAATCTACTCTATATCAATTTATAGTTTAGTGAGCATCAGAAGATTTTTGGCCTACCATTGGTCATTACAATAGGATAAATGTTCCCATTTTAGCTGCTCGAAAACGGTGTCAACTGTAAGTGGCGGTTTACTTTGAGTTTTGCGCATCATGCCCAAAAAGTTTATTTGGTGTTTAAGGCTTGTATATCAGCAGTCGTGTAGCCAAAATCTAAATATAGGCGAGGCAAATATGAAAAGGTGAGGCAAAAGTTGAGTTGAGGCAATAAAAATATCAACACGGTGTTTTTCACGTGACGGTGTGCATGTTTTGGCATGTTTGTCTCAACATACACCTATTGAGTGTAAAACTGGGAAGGCTAACATATGCCGTATCAGCTACAAATTTACATTCAAGTTAAAAAGATGGCAGCACTAAAGAACTTCAAAACAAATCGAATAATGCCGCTTTTATTATCGGCTTCTTTAGAAATCGCAGGCAGGTTACGAATATTGATTTTAGCGGTTTATCAATAATCCATTCTGACTTGACGTATTTGTGCTGTGTAGCTCAGTTGGTAGAGCGCCTTGAAATGATAACGGCTTGAGCGATCTTAGGTTCTGGGTTCGATCCCCAGGAGTAGCCTTAGCTAATCAAATCCGTTACTTCGAATCTAATTGGCCCATAACCAGGTGGTCGGGGGTTCGAATCCCTCCACAGCATCTTTTAACAAGTGACCGGTGAATAAAAATGATTTGATGTAAAAATCGTATATGATACCTTTAGCCTGGTTTGACAACCAACAATGGCCCCGAAGAGCGCAAAGGCGTGCCATGATACTTAACAGGAAATGACAAAACAGGAAGTGACAAAAAATTTGCATTTTTAGACATTTTTTGAACACATACCTTTTACTGCAGGATCATGATGTTCAGGGTCATTCTGACCATGCACATTGTGATCCTGGTCATGTAAATGATATGTGGAACTAGTTAAATTGACTGGAGGAACAGAACTCTGTTATCTTTGTTCAAAAAATGTCTAAAAATGCAGATTTTTTTGTCACTTCCTGTTTCGTCATTTCCTGTTAAGTATCATGGCACCTGTAACAATACCCGGCGATTTAGGGTGAGCTCTTCTGGAGAAAACATGTTTAAATGTCACTCCTCTAATTATTTGAACAATCAGATAAGCGTTGTAGCAGTCTTGAAGCGTTTAGCGTACAGCTGACATCGAAACGGTACAGTGTCACAATGCAAAAGTCAACAGTAGGAAGACTGGTAGTATTGGCAATCACACTTCTTCTCGTTGCAGTTGCTATTACGGTCGGTGTTGTTCTTACAAAAATGTCGGAAGCAAAAGACAACAAAATCGAGGAATTCAACACAACTTTTAATGAAGCGATCTTGCCGCCGAGGCTGAAATGGCTGAACGAACCACACAAAGTTGAACTAAAAACGAAAGATGGGGCAGGGATACGGATATTTCCGGTAATAGCTCCATCAATTTTTGACATACAATATACAATGTTTTACTTTCAGATTTATGAGGTTATATACAATGATTTATTCTGTATATCGTGTTTTTACTAGAGTGGGTATATGCTGCATATACGAGCACGAGTGAATATAGGAATAAAAACACGATACACAGAATGGATCATTACATGCATTAGACTCGACTTGAATCAGTCAAAACTATTCATCAAATAAATATTTGCTCTTGGCTGAATTCCGGCTTGGTATAGCATACGATGACTTGTATACGATCACTGCTATCAAGTCATATACGTACAACCATGCATGTTATGCACCTCATATTATAGAACTGCATTGTACAAATGTACTCAAGGGGGTAAAGTTCAGCTATTTGTTTATCATATTCATGTGTACAGGTACAAATGTATATTGTACATCTTAAGCATGTTGTACAACAATGCTATACTATGACTTAAGGTGGAACGAAAACATTTTTGAAAAATGTTAGGCCTATACCTGCACTGCACGTGTTATTTTTATGGTACAAAATAAAGTATGAAGGCATGTGTGTATTTCCTCGCTTTTTCAAGAAAGTATCATTGCGTTCCCTTCTTAACTAGTAAACCTGGTAAGATGTCAACTGTAACTCCAGTGTTGTCCAGAAGCTTAGAGAAGAAATGGAAAATTGAAAAGTCGGCGATTTGAATGTTTTTTTTCCAGGAAATAACAGCATTTCCCGGAGGAGTTACCATTGACCTGGATGTGGATTTAGATGTCACACTTGTCATTTCTCTTTTTGCTTGGGCCAGACTGCCATTGCTGTCCATGTTATAAACTCTGTAATAGTTTCTTAGCATAATGATTAATGAAAAAGTGCCGGTCGAATCTGCCGGAAACTCAAATGGCAAACTATGGGATGACCCTGTCAATGTATCTGTTGTGATTGATAATGGAATTTTTGGTTGTCAAATGAATAAACTAATACTTTTAGCATTGCATCAATGGAGATTTGGCCCAAGTGTTTTAAAACGTCATGGGAAATGATTTTGAATGACATGACTATATAAATCAGAGTCATTATTGTGGAAACTTTTCACTGAAATTTAAAAAGAAACAAAAGTTATAATTAGTTGTTAGAGGTTATAAGTGCAAATCTCTTAAAATCCCATGAAAAAACGAGAATAAGTGAGATTTTAAAGCTAAATGGAAACTCCTCTATTCTTCAAAAATGTTTTCGTTCCGCCTGCTATCAGTGTCACGTTGATGTTTAATACTAAATAGAGATAATATTTATTCTATATTTTCAGGATGATAAAACAGATTTCTGGCAAAAGTAGGTCAACAAACTATTATATAATGCATATTTGTTCCATATGAAACAAAACCATATTAACCGTGTAGACTGAAAAAATTGAATAAGTTTATTTGTGGCCAACAATCCTTTCGTAATATATCGTTAATATATTAAAAGTTAAGATCCATAATTTGTGTTCTAACTATGTTCCGTAGCTTAATTTTCGCATCATTATGTTTCTGTTTGAAGGACATACTATCCAAACAATATGAGAAACAACAATGGTCACATGTTGGCAATGGAGATACCAGTGGACAGTAATGTCATGGCCGAGACACATTTCAACCTGGAACCTGTTCATCAATTTGATCAGGTGAGACAATGGGCAACATTTGCAACTTAAAATGATCTGCAAGTGTGCTACGAAATGAAAGTACATGAAGAATGCTCTTATACATCGAGTTTGTTATCGATCGAACCTTTAAATAACTAGGAGAAAAACATTTACCACATACATTACATAACTGTAAATTGAAAGATTGAACAATATACATTAATACAGATTCTGTATAGGCAAATACTGAATATCATAGCCTTTGCTAATCTTGCGATGAGATTGGTAGACTTATGATAAACCAATACTAATACAATCATTCCTGTTAAATTGATTACCAACAAGAATCTGTCAAGTTGTTTGATTACATTACACACTTATCACTTCTATTAAACGTAGGACATTACTTCTGCAATGTCTATGTACTCTAGTGCGATTAATAAAAATGTGCTTGTATCTTTCAGGCGGGTTTGATGTTACGTCTAGACGATGAACACTGGATTAAAACAGTAAGCAACAAAAGTACACATTCAATTAAGTATTTTCATGATAACTTGATTTGTTCATGATTTATAGGGCATAGTAATTTAGTTTGTTAAACAATCACCAATCCATTCACGAAATGATGTGAATGTATTTGGTTCATTGTCGGCTTATCACTTTGGAATCTCGAGAAATCTGCTTTTGATATACTGTATTCACACATAGCTAGGCCAATCCGAGCAGAGTAGTTCATATAACTGCACTGCATTATATAACCAACAATCCATCCAAGGTCATTCGTTGGATGGTTGTCATGATGCCAATTTGACTCTACCAATACTCAATGCATTGAAGTTGACTCTTTCCACTCAGGCGTTGTTACCTAAAACTTGATTCTGGGAATCTGGTGCAAACAACAACACCTCGAGGAATGACCAGTCCACAAGTGAGTCCAGGGCTCAAATCCTTAAATTAATTATCAAGTAATATTTGTTTTATCTAAAACAGTTGATATGATTTATAGGGCATAGAAGTGGTAGATGGTGCTCCCAAGTTGAGCTGTGTTGTCACAAATGTGTATAGTGACTGGTCAACGACAGAGTGGCCAACCAACAATCTTACCATAAGATTATACAAACTCGACAGTGATATTGTGGTTAGTGATCATGAAGTTATGGAGTAGGACAGTTAGTGATCTTTTATGATCACGATACAGACAAGTTCAACTTAAAACACGGACGCATATAATCGATATTCACAACACATGTGCTCACCCAGTACAGGGTGTCTCAAGTGATATCGAACGTTCTCTTGCAGTTTTAAGCAGTTGATCAAAAATATGTTCCATTCGCCTTTAAACTTCCAATGAAAGTTAATATGGATAGAAACTCGAATGCATCTGTTGGGGGTGAAAGTTAATGGTTCTGGAAAACACATATTTATTACACTTTCAGGTAGAGCATCTGACACCAAATAAAGATACTGGTAAATGGGAGTTTATGAGAATTGCCCGATTACGTACAGATGACACTCCTCATTTGAAGACATGTACACTGGGGCTGTTTGCTTGTGCGCCGACCAAGTCCGACTTCTCTGTGGTATTTGACTACCTATCGATTAAGAACTCAAAGGGCTTTCATCATGGAACTGAAGAAACAACAGAGGCGCCCTAGTGATATTCAGAATGTAGTCATGGAATATTTGAAAACATTCTGTGAAATTCTTTAAATGTAAAATGTTTAAGACTGTAAGGCCAATAAAGGCATGCGTGGCATTTCAAGAGAGTAATAAGTTTCAAATGTTTAGATTTCCAAAAATATTGTACTTCGGGTAAGGATGAGTCTGGGAATGAGTCTGGGTATCGACTTAGAAAATATTGAAAATTGTAATGTCTGAAAAACCAACTCAATCACACATATTATTAAACTTCAATATCTTATCTTAGATTATAAAAATATCAATTTGTATCACAATATTGGCATCAAAGACAGTGCATATCACTTTGTCAGAATTGAAAAAAAATCAATGGCAAATATTAAATGAATTATTTATGCAAAAAGTTTGAAACATATCTTCAAAAACATTGGTTACTTTCTTTATATAGACATTGAATGGTATTTCTGGATAAGTGAATTGGTGTTTATCTGGGTAATCAAGGGATTATAGTCACTCAAAGTTACTGAGCATCCAGTTTTGAGACTTCAATTGTGTTGGTGATGTTACACATATTTCAGTCAAATTCATGCTGAGCACAACATTTTGGTTTCAATTTTATAATCTCTATACATGACCCTGGTGATGAAGAGTCAGAATCAGTCAAAAAACCTAAACCGGAAAACTGTGCTCATTGTGAAAACTAAAAGTGAAGCAACTTTTTTTCTGATATTTCTTACATCAAATGGCAACCATCTTGTTTTCCCCCTTCAAATTTAACTGGCGGGAAATTCAAAAATTTGAAAAAAAATTTTAATCATTAAATATATTTCAAAAATATGATTTTCTTTTAATTCTTCATGGGTTTTAAGTTATTTCTTCTTTGTATGTCATACATGTTGCCATTGGTGTTTTTTCTATGATAATGACTATTTTTTTGTTTGTTAAGTTCCTTATTCTGACTCTCAGCAGGGGGTTAATTATGCATCAAAACTCGTGAAAAAGTAAATATACTTATCAAATATAACTAGGACAGTAATAAAAACCATATTTCACATACATTTGACTGAGGGACCAAAAGGGCATATACCAAGACACATCCTTTTAGAAAATTCGCCAAATTCAAAGAGTTTTAATTCTAGAAGTATGATATTGGTGAAATATTTGATGGGCGCTATTCGGAATTCAGAGGTTATAACAAGTTTACTTTCACAATCAATAAACACAGGTTGAGTTTGGAAAAATCCTATTTATTCTAACATTCCAATCTAAACTAGCGAGTTAACTACCAAATGATTTTAACTTAAATCATTCCCAAATAAATAAATAAGCTATAATTAAATTAAAAACAGTCTAATATGACAGAAGACTATAGTTTTAGCTTGTAAATATAAATATGTGATCTTCTCAGCATTAGATCAACTAGATACCCTTTCGTAAGTCAAACCAAACATTATAGTTAATATGTATATCACCCTGTTTGCATTCAAATATAGGAAATGTTGAGATTTTTCAAGCATAAGCAAAATAATGATTTACGACCCCCTTGAGTAAAAAACTGAGGATATAATTGTTCAGCAAAAATATAACTTTTCAAGGGTAACTGCAACACTCTTGGGGTTTATTGTAATTGTATATACATCTACAATTATTGAAAGTAAAGTTAAGTAAAACATATCAGTATCAGTATCAATATCAGTATCAGTATTAAAAACTACCGGTTGCAATTGCAATGTGATGAGACATTATCTGTGATTATGTCTTCTGTCCAAATAATCAGGCCACTTTTGGATTTCACTCTAGATAAATGAGTGACTTGATGAATCTGATACTGTTAGTTGATTGTGTCCATTTTATTCAACTTTTAGCCTCATTTCTTGAAGCTTCGGTGTCATTTCTTGTACAGTTGAAGCCAAATCTGAATATTGGAGTATCACACTAACATTTGTGTGTATCGTGCTGATTCTCGCCATACATCCTCACATTATTTAATCTGAGTCTGAAGATGTATCAGTATTGGTTTCTTCATGTCCAGCACGACCTGAATTTAGAGAGAACATATTAGAAAGACAAAGTATGATGAAAGGAACATCATCATCATCATGATGGAAGACACATCATAATGAATAACATATCACTGTGGAAGACACAATATGATGAAAAGGAAAAACATTAAATTGAAAGACATGCCATAATGAAAGACTCGTCATAATGAAAGACTTATCATGATGGAAGACATACTTTGAGACAAATCATAGATGTCATATCGGAAGACATTTAAAAATTATTTTTATATGTACATGTACATTTGTATTATGTAACTTACCAGATCGTATATGATTCAGAGATGCCAGCATTCGCAACATAAAAGATGCTGGAACAGTGATGGTGTCCCTCGTCTCATCTAACATAACTTCATTCCTCTTTGTCACCTGCAACACAACAACAAATTAAGGACATCGGACCTTTTAAGAACAAGGGGAATTTTATGTCAAAGGTTAAAGTGTTGGTTATATCGAGGAGTCCTCAAAAAATTCTGAAAATTTTACACATCATCAATTAAATGGTCATCTTTTGAATGGTAACAATATAATTTGAAAAAAATTCTCTATATTGTTTTAGAAAACACACCAAACACTTCTTTTGTTCTTGGTATCATATGTTCGGAATGAAATGAAACATCTATCCGAACCTCACTGTAACAAAATGACACAAGGCATTAACATGACAAAATGTTACCACCTAGCTGCTCAAAATATTATTGAAAACTTGTAGATGATTTTGAAAAAATGGTCAATTTGAAGCGAAAGACCTTTTTGAAGGTCAAATCTAAAGTCAGATTTGAACTTCTGATAACTTGTAGACTATTTTGGGAAAAAAATGGTCAATTTCAAGCAAGTTGAAACGAGACCTTTTTAACCTTATTTACCTTTAGAAGGTCAATGAATGTCAAATCTAAAATCTAAAGTCAGATTCGAACTTCTGATAAGTTATTTTGAAAAAAATTGGTCAATTTGAAGCAAGTTGAAAAATACCTTTCAACATTTTTTTTACCTTGAAAAGGTCAATGACCTTGAGAAGGTCAATGAAGGTGAAATCTAAAGTCAGATTTGAATTTCTGATAACTTGTAGATGATTTTGAAAAAAAGGTCAATTTGATGGAAGTTGAAATAAGACCTTTTTTGACCGTGAGAAGGTCAATGAATGTCAAATCTCAAATCTTAAGTCAGATTTGAACTTCTGATAACTTTTTGAGCTACTTTTGACGTGGAGATGGTCAATGAAGGTCAAATCTCAAATCTAAAGTCAGATTTGAACTTCTGATAACGTGTAGATGATTCTGAAAAATAACTTGATCAATTTGATACCGGCCATATCGATACCAATCCTTTAATATAAATATAGCAGACACTATCCATTAAAGGCAACATTATCTGACTGTACTTGCCTCTTTAGCAGTCTCTCTATCAAACGTAGTTTCCAGAGACGTAGGGGCCCAGATCTTTATATCATAGTCTATACCACTAGATGCCAAAACTGAAATATGAAATAGGACATGTCAAATATGTTAAAGCGAGATATGTATTTCTCATGTATGTTTTTTTATTTTTGCTTTTGCTAATTTCTCTCCACGTGAATGGATTTGTTTGAAAGAATCAAAAAAGTTCAATAAATGATTCTTGCATTGACTAGTGAGAGCAGTGTGAGCTTCATCTACCCAGTCAAATTGAGAAGAGGAACTTCTTAGGATCAACTTCAGTTATAATGTGCAGACAAGGCATTAACGCCATCCACAAAAAAGTTGGCCATTTAAAGACTGTAAAGGATTTCTTCACTTACTGGGATAAGAGGGGTGAGGTCTGATACAGTTGACTACATGTCTATCAGCCTCTAACATCTGCACCAACTTAGCTGTATGTCTGTCCCATATAAAGATGTGTCCACAGTCACTACCACTCATTACATAATCCTCACCCCAGAAGCTAGCCTCCTTGATCTACAAATGGAAACCCCAATATTATTAAGATTTTCAACAATTCACATCATTTTTGAAGCAGCTGAAAATGTTTGCATAATATATCAAGCATTATCTTTCCAGCTTATATAAGATGATTGAGTATTTCAGGAAACAAATTATGATCAAGACATATGGACTGACAGTAGTCAAACAGAAGGCGTCACCTTCACTGTAAAGTTCATTCACTGGGATTAAAACCACACTAGACTAAAATCCTTTACCATAGTTCTCGAGTTCCTATGACCCTTATAGATGTTCTTTATCTTAGGTGTCTCGATGCACATAGAGTCTTGTTCCTCCATCTCCTTAGCCTCGAGACGTTTACGATAAAGTGTCTGTAATTTTATAGCTGCTAGGTTTCTTTCAAGGTTTTCATCATCACTCCTGAAGTAGAAAAGGCTTACAATATATTATAAAGCTTTCAGCCATTTCATTTGAGTCTGGACTCATTACTATAACATACTAGTAAGTTTTTTATTTTCTAAACTTGTTTCCAGATAGAGTGTTTGCTCAAAATGACATAAATTTCCCAACGTTTTTTTGCAGAGGGGTGAGTGTTCTTAAGGTTATGACACAAAAAAGAATTGTAAATGTACTGTATTCCAAACTTGAATGTAAGTATGTACCTGTTAGGCCTAGCATGAGATCTTCTATGAGCAGCCATTAGCTCTTCATCACTGTCATTATCATCATCATACAGTTGAAAGTCTCCTGTAGGGGGCCCACTGTGACCTACTCTTCTACGCCTTTCACCTTCAACAACAACAACACACTTTTATGAGATCTCATTGTGAACAGTGATCAACTGTCTAAGTCATTAAGTAAACACTTTTTAAATTTGATGAATAATTAATTTACACAAATTATTCAGTTCATTTGATTTTCTTCTTAATCTTTATATTACACTCAAAACAAGAACACAAATGTGTACAAAATGTCCCCACCAAGTGGTGATCCCGTGAAATGGTTATCCTGAAAATGAGTAGACAAGACTTTACCAACACAATTTGAGGACGGAAAATCCAAAGTGGCCACCTTAAAATTTACCAAAAATGCCAAAAATTTTGTCAGTTCTAGATGTTCACACTAAGAACCACCCCTGAAAATTTGAAATTGATCCGTCACACAGTTAACCAGAAAACATGTAAAGAAGACTTTACAGACAAGATTTCAGGATGGAAAATCCAAAATGGCTGCCTTGACATTTACCAAGAATGTCAAAAAACTAATCTGTTTGTAGATTTTCATACTAAGAATCATCCCTGAAAATATGAAATTGATCTACCAAACGGTTCACCTGAAAACGGGTAGACAAGACTTTACAGACAAGATTTTAGGACAGAAAATCCAAAATGGCTGCCTTAACATTTACGCAGAATGCAAAAAAAGTAATCAGATGTAGATTTTCATACAAAGAATCATCCCTGAAAATTTGAAATTGATCTATCAAACCGTTCACCTAAAAACGCGTAGACAAGACTTTACAGGCAAGATTTTAAGACGGAAAATCCAAAATGGCTGCCTTGACATTTACCCAGAATGCAAAAAAACTAATCAGTTCTAGATTTTCATACTAAGAATCATTCCTGAAAATTTGAAATTGATCTACCAAACAGTTCACCTGAAAACGAATAGACAAGACTTTACAGACAAGATTTTAGGACGGAAAATCCAAAATGGCTGCCTTGACATTTACCCAGAATGCCAAAAAACTAATGAGATCTAGATTTTTATACTAAGAATCATCCCTGAAAATTTGAAATTGATCCACCAAACGGTTCACCTGAAAACGCGCAGACAAGACTTCACAGACAAGATTTTAGGACCGAAAAATCCAAAATGGCCGACAATAAAAAAGTCCTTATGAGTTTTTGCTGATTTCTTTTTACAAAATTATCACATATAACTACTGTTAACAATAAAGTAGGCTTTTACAGCAAAGTACATCTGAAATTATTTATAAAGCTACTAAATAGTTAAAGTATGAAAACTCAAAAACACCATTCAATATGATACAAAGTATTATCGCGCGCTAACTTTTCTTCAGACATTCAAAATGGCTGACATGACTGAGCTAGCAGGTCCAAAACCTAATCAGATCTAGAATGAAGTGAGCTGAACAAGATGTTAAAGTTTTAAAAGCAACTGTGAAGCAGTTTTTCTTAAAGTTTGCAGACAAGGATTTTAGCATTTGACTTCAAAATGGCCGACAGGAAGTAGGTTTTGAGTTAAATTTTTTTCATCCACATCTATAGGCACTCATAAGTTATTCCTGAAAATTAGAAGGTGATACCTGTAGTGGTTTTGGAGAAAACTGCCGGACGTACGGACGGACAGGCAACCAGACAGACGGACGGACGCGCCTAGGACGACAATATGGCCCCACACTATGTGGTGGGGACATAAAAAGTATAAATTTCGCATTAGAGAAATCCATTAGTTGAATTTTGCCTTAATCTGGGACAAAATACATCTATTTATGAAAAACCTGATCACTGAAACAAATCCACGAAGAAACAGTTTTAAATTGTTGATAAACAACAAAAAAATTTAAATTGCCAATGCTTTGTTAATGGATCTTGTACATATTATTGCAATTGCTTGTATTTTGGATTTGGATTGTGATACTTGTTATGTAATGATGAAGGAACTGGGTCATTTTACATTCCATGCCTTTAATCATCAATTGAGATGTTTGGGTTTGTTTTCTTGCACCTGGTCTGTTCTGTTTTGTCACTGAATTTTTGATGGTTCAGTAACACCTGTGTAAGTCGGGCACTTTTGGTACCTCTATAAGTGTTCCACTTGGGAGGTGTGCCACTTAAAAAGGGTTATTAAACAATAAGTCAAGGTTGCAAGACTTTGAAAAGTGTTCCACTTATGGAAGTGTTCCACTTACAGAGGTGTTCCAGTTTACAGGTTTTACTGTATTTCACATTTCTTACATCACATACCTGAAGTTGATGCTACAGGTTGAGAGACTGTTGTATCTGGGGTCTGATCTGCTAATTCTACATGCACCAGGGGCTTATATTCTGATAACCCTTGTTCAGAGTTTGATTCTAAGGGGGAAGCTGAGGCTTCTGACACCAGAGATGAAGTGACTGACTGGGCTGGAGTCACAGGTGAAGTGATCACAACTGATGGTGAGACATTTCCAAATGAACTCATTGAGGCTTCTGGAGCTGGTGGCATTGTGGATACAGCTATCGATGTATCTGGAGCTGATAGTATTGTAGCTTCCGATATTGTATCTGCAGATACAGATGCTGTATCTGTGATTTGAAGTTCATCATTCCTCACAGCTTCAGTAACAATTTCCTTAGTTTGACTAGATATTTTTTCCTCATTGTCAGTAATTTTGGAATCATGATGTGATGGTTCATCCGATTCATTTGGAGATTCAATTCTAATACTTTCATTATTTCTAGCATCATCAGATGTTACTTGATCTGAGATGTGATCCAAGGTAATACCACTTGCTTGTACAGATAAATCTGCCGAGGATTTGCGACTAGAGCTTTGAGATTTTAAACCAGCGAGAACAAAATTTGCGGCATCTGAGAGTTTATCACTGGAGGTGTTTGGAGATATTGATGTTCCTACACCGACTAATGGTTTGGATTTTGCAACTGGTCCAGATGTGCTGTTAGTGAAAGATGAGGTACAAGTAACTGTGCCACATGAAAGACATTGAGGGATGGTTGTCGAGCTATCGACTGTATCACCACTTGATCCATCAGTTACATGTGCAGCAGTATCAAGTCCATCAATGCTATCACTTGTCTTAATAACATCTTCCGTTTCATCATTTACATCATTTTTATTATCACTAGCTTCAACTGCAATATCATCAGTAGTTGTCCCTATACTAAACATGGTTGGCGGCTTCTTATATTCTACTTGGATTGTAGATGCTGTTGTACCATAATTACTATACTGCAATTTGATTTCCTTGATCTCTAAGGGCCTAATATTCTCAACACTTGTAGGTATCACAGACAGAGGATTGGTTTGAGTCACTTCATGAGCTCTCTCAGTTTCTTCAGTCGATGTATCTTTATTTGATTGGATCTTAGATCCCACATTGTCTTTTTCTATTGCACTTTCTCCCGTAGATTGACTGCTTTGTGTCAGGTTATCAGAATCTAGAATTCTACGAAATTGAGATTCACCATCTTTTTTCAGTGTTGTATTAGTCTGTTCAGTTGATACTGAAGATCTTGGGTCTTGAGTTTGTTGACTGTTCAGTTTCGTTGACTTAGGTATAGCACCGGATGTGGCTAGAATTGGAGCCATTTCAATGTCTATCATGGCTCCTGCTTCATTGGAATTATCACATGACATATGTTCAGTTTTTGCGTCATTTCCTGAGTGTTCATGAGTATCATCAATGTGCTCAGATTTAGATTTCTGCACTTCATGTTCTGCATCTGTTGTATTATCAGTATCAATCTCCATGGCAACTTCATTTGAATCAGCCACACTGAGATTAGATGAATCGTTACTAGGGGCAACATTCTCTGAAATACAATAAGAAGGAAGCAATTGAATATTAAAAATATCAACATTTCAGAAGAGATATCTACTTAAAAATTGTACATATACAAAGTACAACTCCAATTTTGGGATCCCACAATACATTTTTGAATTTTAAATTTCAATATTAGTTCAACATTGATAATCCAATCAATTTTGATGTATCAAAAGGGATATCAAAAGAGATTTCTAGAGATTACATATATGTTTTTAAGTAATTTTTGAATCTACACCAATAAGGCATAATTGGTATTTTTATACATACCCTCAGTTGACTGTTCCATGCTCTGTCCTTCCTCCCTTTGACTAGGTGACTCTCCAGTAGCTGTTCCTTCTGCTGTGTCAGCCTCCCCCTGTCTTTCACCCCCCAACCAGCGTGTCAACATATCAGACATCCTCTGCATAATGTTACTCTGGGGTTCCTCCGTCTCTGTAAGCAATCACATAGCAACTTCATGTAGTTTAAAATAAACTACAGTATCAGGGGTTTCACTAGAATTTCTCACAACAGGCTACATAAATGAAAACAACAGGCAAAATTAATGGAAATCATAAATTTAACATGGAAAAGTTGAAAAGTCCCGATGAAAATTGCCCATTGCCTGCTGCAAATGAAACCCCTGAGTATATACATGTTAAGCCAAATCATAGTTATTGAAGTCATTCAATCTTTATTTATTGAACTGCAGTTTTTTAACCAATGAGTCATTTCCATTCCATTTTCACATTTACATTTAAATGTGAAAATGGAATGGAAAAGGACTCATTGGTTAAAAAACTTTTTATGTTTAAAATCTTTGTATTATTTTGGATAAAATATGAAATTTAGGTATTGAAAAAAAAGAACAATAAATGATGAAAGCACATACAAAGGATGTTTTAAAATTAGCCCACCTCCTTCTTGTTGTCTTCGTTCCCGCTCTGGCCGAGCATTAGGTCCAGTATCTGACCAATCACCACGCAATCTGAGGCGCTTTATTGGCGGTTGTTTGTTACCTCCAGGGGATGAGTCAGCATTCTAAAACAGTAGACAATTTTCTTTCAGTCCATACAAGCATGGACTTCTCATGGTATGAAAATGTCATAGAAACTAGTAATTTAAATGCAGTTTAATATGCCTTATTTTTCTCTCGTTAGCTGAACTATAGATTAGATCTTGAATCAAGGTAATGACAAGGCATTAACATAATAAAATGGTACCACCACCTGGAAAATTTAATCAATTTGACCTAAAGACCTTTAAGACCTTTTTACCAGGTCAAATCCCAAATCAAATTTGACCTTTTTTGACCTTGAGAAGGTCATTGAAGGTCAAATCTCAAATCTGTAGTCAGATTTGAACTTCTGGAAAGTCATAGATAATTTTGAAGAAAATCATTTAATCAATTTGAAGCAAGTTGGAAAAAGACCCTTTTAATTTAAAGACCTTTCTGACCTTTTTAACCTAAAGACCTTTAAGACCTTTTTTACCAGGTCAAATCCCAAATCAAATTTGACCTTTTTTGACCTTGAGAAGGTCATTGAAGGTCAAATCTCAAATCTAAAGTCAGATTTGAATTTCTGAGAAGTTGTAAATGATTTTGATAATTATTCAATTTGAAGCAAGTTGAAAAAATACCTTTTTGACCTTTTTTAATCTTTTTGACCTTCTAAAAGTCATTGGAGGTCAAATCTTAAATCAGATTTGAACTTCTGAAAACTTACAGATATTATTGAAAAAAAATTGAAGTCAGTCTAAAAAGTATTTGTTAAGTTATTGGAAGTTGTAAGAATTTGTTACAGACGCCACCTGCCAATCATAATCCTTTTTTGACCTTAAAAAGGTCATTGAACGTCAAATCTCAAATCTAAAGTCAGATTTGAATTTCTGAGACGTTGTAGATGATTTTGAAAAAAATTTAATCAACTTGAAGGAAGTTGAAAAAATACCTTTTTTTCATCTTTTTGACCTTCTAAAGGTCATTGAAGGTCAAATCTCAAATCAGCTTTGAACTTCTGAAAACATCTGAAAAAATTGAAGTCAGTCTTAATAGTATTTGTTAAGTTATTGGAAGTTAAGAATTTGTTACAGATGCCAACCACCAACCGCCATCACAGAATAGAGAGACCATAGCAATATGTCATCACTTTTTGGTGGTGACATAAAAATGGAAGTTAACATTCAAGTGTAAAAATTATTCAAATATCCACCTATTCATGTAACAAGTATAATAGTATATGAGTCAAATAGAGATGTTTTCTTTTCATTGTATGCATCCATGGTAACAAAAAGTCACAGCAAATCCATGTTTTCCATGTAATCAGAAAAACATTGTTAAATACTGATGGAAAACACATGTAATCAACCCCTGACTGATAATACATGTAATCATTTATTAATGTGAAATACATGCTATTATTTACTTAGTCTAATGGAAAACACATGTAATCAAACCCTGACTGATAATACATGTAATCATTTACTAATGTAAAATACATGAAATTATTTACTTAGTCTAATGGAAAATACATGTAATCATTTCCTGACTTAGGTAATCATTCCCTGACTGAAAATACATGTAACACTAATCATACACTATGCTGATTAAAAAACAAGCAATCATACACTGACCTGTATATTCTTGCTTGTAGGTTGGGGTTTAACTAAAGTCTTGGGTTCTTTTTCGGTATCCTAAAAAATGAAATTGATATGTGGGTCAATATGTGTCAGTATATTATGTACTCCCGAAAGGATAATTAATGTTTGGGGAGGGGGTAAATGTTCCTTTACTTTTGCTTCTGCATCCCAATATTAAATACAATAGACTTCTAATTTGAAAATAATCAATAAATTCTATCTCCTGAGACAACATGGAAATAATGATCTGTTCCCTAAGTTAGAATGTTAAATATGATCATGAAAAAATAAAGATGTCATATTATATATGTGTGAACAAAAAATGGTGCCGCTTGTGACTATTTGAAGTTCAAACCCATGTTTAACTGTAAACCATAAAAGTATCTAAAAACAATATTACCATATAAGGAGAAACACACCTTAATATTAATGAGGTACATATGCTCAGAGGAGAAGCTAGCAAGGACCTCTGTACCATCAGAACTGTACTGCAGAGATGTGATTCTATGGTACCTACTGCTGACACTAGGGGGTGTAAATTTACTGAACAATCCAGCATGACTCTTTCCTGTATAGTGACCTATATCAAAAAAAATCGAAGAATGCAATTAAACCTGGCATAAGATAGTATACTATCTTTAGCACTTAGAGTTAAAAACCTAACTTGTCACATAGTAAACTCATAAGACAGGGAAAAAATGTTCATATGTAAAATATTAAGATTTTGGAGAAGTTGCTTCTTTGTATTAGACTGGATGAAAAATCTTTACAGACACTACATTCTAAATGCCAAATGGCCCACTCTTGATGAAAATAATTTTACCTGTCATTCTTGTACCCAACATTCGCCTGTCATACATTCTGACAGTGCTGTCTGAACATCCCACTGCAAGTTGATAAGGCAACACAGGGTTGACAGATATAGCAGTCACTGCACGCCGACAGTTTATAAGAATATCCTGTGAAGCAGACAAATAGCAACATTATATAATAATTATGCAATAATTGGATTTATGAAATTATAAACAGTTTGTTGAGGGGAGTAGTACATATTAAAGTATAGAAAAATGAAGTAAGAATGATCCATCCCCTGGACAAAGATCACATGACTGATGTCAAGGTCACGAGGTAACTGGGACTTCATTATTCCACTGAACTTCAAAGAAGTATGACTACTGAAAACAACCCACAACCCACCCTTGTACCAAGAAATTTAGGGTAAAATAGATAACAATTGAACATATTAAGGTAAGCCAAACAATAAAATATCTTTAGGGCGTATGTCCCACCTTAATTTAATAAGAATCAATAGATGATTAGACTAATTAAGCTAATTAAGGGATGTTTCTAAGTAAGTTATGAAACATATCCCTTTAATTGGGCTAATTGAATTATCATTTAATTGTACTAATTAGGCTCCCTGACGGCAAACTGTTAGAATCAGAATAAACATGTATACAGGATGGGTCAAAACAATTAAAATAAACTATTCAAAAGACAATAGGGTAAACTATTTAACCTTTGATATTCCAAGATTTATTTGTAAAAGATATATTAAATTTTTAGTGTTTCATATTATGAAGTCATTTTTATAGTGATATTATGTCTTCCTATATGGCACCAGTTTGACACAAGCCAATAATATGCAAATGTAGGCTTGTTTCTCCATATTCATGTTTCATTGTATTATTTATGCCATATGGTTCATATATGCAAATAAAATATCCTAAAAAACAGTTTGACAGATGAATGGGCACTTCCATCCTTAAAAACACAAGGTTTGGCATCCTGAGATATGTGTCACACATACAGGGTGTGTCTATTCAAAAAAAATGTGTGTAGGAGGATCATCAACAACTTTGTTCTCCAGATTGAATTGTGCATAGAGAGGAGAGATGCACATTTAGGGCATGTTTTGCAAGGAACTGTAGTTTTTGGCTCAATTAACAGATTATTATCAAACTTTCACAACAAAATTCACATTGGATAACTAAATAATTCTGAAATTTCAAGGCAAAATATGCAAAATTAACTGAGTTATTCAACTTTCTTACGGTCCTGTTTTCTTTTGGGACTTTCACATACATTCTGTACATTCAAAATTATTATGCCACAAGGTACTACAGGTACATATATTTACCTCTTTACAGGTTTCTTTGGAGCAGCTGGTCTTCAGTCTGAGATCAAACCAACGAACAGTTCCATCTTCTCCGCATGATAAAAAGCTGTGTGAATCATTAGGAACAGTGATGACATCATAGCAAGTGCCAAAGTGGCAGTTAAAGGATGTAAAGTCAGCGGCCAAATCAGGGTGAAGCTGGGTGTAGCATATTATTCCATCCCCAGAACATGATATTATCTACAACATATGCAAAGACCAGAAACTTCAAAATCATATTACTTGGCAATGTGACCCGATAATTATGTTGTATTCTGTACATGTAATTGTATTTGAAAAGAACAAAAAGATTAAACATCATAGGATTTAACAGAAAAACAGAATAACTGAATGCACAAATGGTATATTCTGTAATTTCAATCTTCATCCAGTTATCTTTTAAAAGTAATGACTTCCTCCCTGTAATTACCCCCCCCCCTTCATCATATTTTTCATACATACCTCATTGTCATTTGTGTTTGGCAGGAACTTGGCACTGAATATATTGGCTTTATGTCCAGATTGTATCTTCCTTAACACCTTAAATACAAAGGATCAATTAGATAATTGCATGTTCACATAGTTTTACGTACATTCGAGACAAAATGTTTATAATTAGACAAAAGAAGGCATTAACATGCAAAACATGCACCACCTCGTCCACCTGCCATTTGTTACAGATGCCAAACACCAGCTGCCAATCACCAACCACTGACTGCTTAACACCATCCACAAAAAAGGTTGAGACCATAACAATATGTCAGCACTAACTATGTGGTCACTAACTACTGTAGACGTGGAAAATTACACGTGGGTTTTTACATCTCAGAATTAAATTTAAATTAACAAAATATTTCTGTCTCAATAAAATGTTTTGTTTGGTATGAATCATTAATGAATGAAATGAATTCATGGTGATTTTTAATTAAATTGACCTTTTATTCGGAACCCTGAGGCTTGAACCCAGAATTTACCTTTTCTTTAAATGGGTCAGTAATGATGAGACACTGGTCATCTGACCCTGACAGGATAAACTCCCCTGTGCTGTTCCAACATATAGAGTTCACCTGTAAACACACACATACATGTAATGATTTGAAGTTAACAAAATTAGTAGGGCCTTGAAGAATAACGCTACTATTCCTAGTATACTGTGCTCCCCCTTATAATATCTATTCAACCTTTATACATAAAACAATCGTGTTCTAAAAACAAATAACGCACTCCCAGTCCTGAATGGCTTGTACGAGGGGTGATCAATAAGTAATGGACGCTTTTTTACACAGATGCTTTTTATAGACCAATCCCTTCGATTTTCTTACCAGTGATACATCATTCAATTATCTATCCACTCTTAAGATTTGAAGACAAAATCTATAAGACATGTTGATATATCCTCATTTCCGTGAAGGAGGTACTGGTACCCCGGGACTGACATTTATGTCACATATTCTGAAGCTATTTTAGCTTGTTTAACATGCAATGCAGTTGAATGCAGGCTGAACAAAACAAACGATTATGGTCATGGATTACCCCATTTTGAATATTTTATCATCACTATGTGGTATTCATGACACATTCATTCCACAGGGCCTTCTAAATAGGTTCCATCAAGTGCAACATGTACACAATTCCTCATCCTCTTAACTCAAGATTGTGAGACAAGGCTGAATCCATTCTCTGACATGGTACCAAGATGCAGTTGCACGGGTTGTTTTATTTAATATATGTTAGTAAACCTACGTCATTTCTCTATAGAAATAAGTAGTATAGAAATAAACAAGTCACATGTGAGCAGATGTGGACAATATAGAGCATTGGCCAAGTGCTCAATTTTGAGGTCCAGGGATACTGTTTTCTGAACATTTTAAGATCTATGAGCAGGTGCATTGTCCATATGGAGTAGGGTGTTCCCTTCTCTCACCACCCCTTTCTTCCACAATGCTTTCTCAAATTGATCTGCAAACCCCTCCCATACAACACTCTGACATTACAATACTTTCTGTTAATGTGTTACCAATCAGCAAAAAAATTCAAACAATACAACACTTGTTGCATATAAAAAGTTCAAATCTAACTCAAATTTACCAAACTGGCTAAAAACTGAAAATGTGACGTAAATGTCGGTCCCGGGGTACCTGTACCTCCTTCACGGAATTAAGGATATATCAACATGTATTATATGTTTTGTCTCCAAATCTTCAGAATTGATAGATAATTGAATGATGTATTACTGGTAGGAAAATCAAAGGGATTTGTCAATAAAAAGTATCTGTGTAAAAAAGCATCCATTACTTATTGATCACCCCTCGTATTTACAGACGATTGTAGCAGTTCATGAGATATTTTCAAAGTGAGGCACTGAAGACTTGAATGAATATAATATGGTAACAAATTGTTACTTACACAGCCATTATGCACTTCCAAGGCTGACTCTAGCTTCAATGTTTCAATGAATGACAACGAAGCTGCAAGCAAAAAAGATTGCTGAGAAATGACAATTAAATACAAGATAGTAATAAATGTACATGTGACTTAGTCCTCTGAAATTACTATAAATTGACCAAATAAGATAAGACTTTGGAAGATTACTTGAGACTTGACTTGACTGGAGGAGTAGCATAAGATGCCAGCCAAAACCAAGGAGGATTGACTCCCAGTCTCCCAGGGAAACAACTCGATATCATTTAACAATAAATCTGATCTTGAAGGATGTAGTGATTTCCACTCCTGGGGTTGAATTGCAAGTTTTGGTCTTATTACATAAAAAAAAATTCAAAACACAAAAAAGTGATCAAGATATTAGATTTAATCTTTTGGATTGCTGATGACCAGTTGGTCCAAAATAAACCCAGATAATTGTGGATTCAACTACATGAAAAGAATGCTAAAATACCAAGGAATCTATTGAAGTAGGTACCTAAAGTGGTAGAGGGGTAGAAAATTCTCCCATGTTGTACAGGCAAAAGATTGAGACGTTCTCAGGACTATAGTCATTGCACGGGATAAACCAGAGGTTACTTCCAAGTATGTATCCAACAGACTGACTAGAAGTCAGTCTGTTATGATGTACTACTTTCCTGTGGAAATTATCAATTAGAGGAATTATCAATTAGAGGAACCATTTCTTCAATAAAATAAACATTACAAAATTTCAATTAAGTAGTAAGGTACAATTAAATGCAATAAAAAGTAACACAGCATATTGTCAAGTGGAAATAAAGCTAGTTGAAGTAACAAATGTGCAAATTAATATTACCCAATCGGCCATTTTGAATAGCACTTCCTATGTAAACAAATAAACTTTAACAGAGGTGCCTTATAGTCTGAATATAATTCAGACTAAATAGGATATAGTCTAGGTTACTTCCTGCGAAAGCTATGTAGATTTTGATGCAATAGCTTTCCCACGGCGCACTTGGACAGCTTAGTAATAGTGACCTTTAAAATATGAATAAAGATTTCAGCGGCTTACTTTTGGTCTCTAACTGTGTCTAACATCACCATCATCAATCCGTGCAAGTATTAGAGTGCTGAAATACTTCTTTTTCGATCAAGACTTGTAAATTGTTCATCGAGTGAATGTTTTTTCGATCCATTTTCCAATATGGCGGTTTGCGAAATGAATTTTGAGAATGATTAGGCTTAAACAACATCCGGAGATTCACCGAAATGTTTGAGCAGAAAACGCCATATTGGAATTTGGCAGTAAAAACATTAATTCGACTAACAATTACAAGTCTTGATCGAAAAGGAAGTACTTCAGCGCTCCAATACTTGCACGGAAGGATGATAATGATGTATAACATAGTTAGACAACAAAAGTAGGCAGCTGATCAACTTAATTCGTGTTTAAAAGGTCACTATTATTCAGCTGTCCATTTCCCTGTTTGAGAGCCATAAGTTTCAAACTCTAACATGGCTCTCGAAGTGAGTAAACCAGAGGTACTGTACATGTACAATGTATTGCTCACTTTCATTGGTGACACAATACAATACAGTACAAATGTAGTCTTGAGTACCATACATGTAGCACTGGAATTGGATACAGGATGGCCGAGACATAAGACTCCTTATTGCTGATTGAAAAGGGTCCCATTGAAAAGAAATCAATTTGATTTGAAGTCAGAAGTTCAGATCAAGAGAAGACTTGTAAAACTTACAAAGTTGGGCTTACTGTATGTTTAGTATTGCAATACCAACCTTTACATCGATTCTGTAGTTCAGGAATACTTCCGCGTCCATACTGCACATTGTGTATATACTCAAATATGCCCTTTTGAGGAGGCATAGTCAAATAATCATCAAAATTTCATCAAAACAAGAAACTTTTTGGAGACCGGAAGTGCATTAAACGCATGCGCGGATTGAGTAGTTTAAAACATTTGATAACTTGCTAATGGGCACTGCTCTCAAAAAATTAATTTAACTCAGTGCAATGTGGAATATCTATTCCTTGAAGGTGTTTCTTTCAAAAATTCTCACGAGATGTGCAGCATCAAGTGTTAATTTGGGGAAACGACGCCCAAAAGACCTTTGGTTCCACCATGGGCATTGAAAGCCCATGGTTCCACCATGGGCTTTCTCTCGTTGAAAGTAGAGCATTGTTCAACCCGACCAGGGTAGGAAGTCCTATCAAATTATGGTCCTACTCTCCATTGATTTATATGGTGACCTAAATACAACTCTTTTCCTCATTATCTTATACACAATCAGGGCCAGTAAGGGCCGTTTAGAAAGGGGACCATTATCCCTGGGGACCATCATTTCTTTCACACCGGCACGGGTGTAAAAACTAGACCAGTAAGGGCCGTTAAGAAGGGGGACCATAATCCCCGGGGGACCATAATTTCTTTTACACCGGGATTGAGGAAATGTGTAGGCTATAAGACCGACCGTATCATGTTTAAAAGACCGACCATATTTCAGTATCCTTAAATCACCCATTTTGATTTTAAATACATGTACTTGTCAATCGTAGGCAACGTTTTTTACCCGTTTTGTTCTTTTTAATTATTTTGTAAGTTAAATGGTTAAAACGAAAGGCACGCGAACGCCCTAGGTTCCTGACCTGCCAACCTATCGTTTCTTCGGGAATCTATCTTAATAGATTCCTGTATCGGAAACGATAAATTTAATACTATGTTTAATCCAAATTGCCAGCATAATATTCAATAGACATGAGTATAATGATTCCCTTTGACACCAACGCGAAATTGCAAATCTCCCGTTCTATCTCTAGGTAGTCGTCCTTGTTTTAAAATTACGTATTTTTAATAAAAATGATTTGTTACTTATTGTACTTATTACTGAATGCTGATTACTGAATACGGTTACAGAGAATCAAAAGTGAATAGCCATTTATAAGCACACCATTTGAAAGCTATTTTTGTCATATTGAATTTTGTCATATTGATCGTAGTTTTTACCAGATTGACGGTTAACAACAGAGAAATTAATCATTACACTGTACGTATTAATATTTAAAAAGAGAACGACGTGGTTTTAAACACCGACAATGTTAAGTGTGTTTTTGTTACTTTCATACTGAGCAAAATGTAACGTTACACGTGCGTTTTTTCATCAAAATCCAAAGAGACTAACCAGGAAGAAATTGATCTTCGAATCACTTGAAAATATGACATTATAGACCACGATAATGTTACGTTTTCATGTGCATTTTTCATTGTGATTTAAAATGGTTAACTCATTTCAATCACGAAGGTACTAAAGTCATTGGATTCCTAGTTTTTAGTCTTGGCTATGTTCATATTCTAGTTTTGCGTCTAAAAGACCGACAGCCGACCGTCGGCGTCAACCACATGAACCCAACAGTGACTGATCGGCGGTCGCTCTTTTTCGCAGACCCGCATGCTACGCCATTCTTGATGATCACTTCGTGCAGTTCTATGCATGTCACTATAAAATGAGTTTAATTTTTAAAGGATGTGATGAATTCGTTCAGTTCTGTAACTATGAGTTTTGACTTTAATTAGGAATATTTATTTATTTATTTATTAAAATCAATGTGTAATATTTACAGGTTTTAGTGGCTATGACCCCCAATAGTCTGATAGTTAACCGATTAGGGAACAAAATAATATTCATGGGCGTTCTTTTCACAGCTGGCATATTCCAAAAATCCCATGCGAAATAAACGCCCGGTGGATATTTTGGATACTTTAAGCAATGCATATAAAATCGAAACGTCAACCTGTACCCATCATTTTCTTCAGAAAGCATTATACCATGGATCGAAATCAAAACTGCCAGCAGAGTATTCAATAGACGTGAGTATAATGATTCCCGTTGAAACCAACAAAAAATTGCAAATCTTCCATTCTAAACACAGCTCTGAAGCTGATCGGGTATTTGAAGTTGACTAAGTAGCGCTTGAACTCTATATTACCAAGAAGTGACGGTAATATAGAAATAAATAGTACATGTATGTTCAGATTCTTACAAGAAATTCATTATTTTCCAGAGTATTCTTATACACTAGTACGCCAAACCCAAGCAAAGCTGTATTACTTGTACAGTAGATAACACATTGACTCACTCTAAATGACATCTCTGAATGTATAGGTTGTCAAATGGTGTTCGCTCTTTTAATTGATTTTGAAGAAATCTCGCATAGAGTTTTTTTGGTATCGAATGTTTACCCGAGCAACAAGTCTGACTTAACAGCTCTTTCCATTGGCGTATATAGTATGCGTGTATTTTTCGCCTAGTTTATGCTGTGGGTGGGGGGCACAACGCCATTTGACTCCCTGTACATGGTACCCTTTGCATTCGTTTGACTTTGCTTCTCAAAAGAGAGCTTCGTCTTCGTTTAACTCTTTTTTTTTTTTTTTTTTTTTTATTCCAGTTTTATTCATGATATAATATACAGATCAGGCGAACAATAAGGTATTTAATGTTGAATCTGGAAATAACAATTTTGTAACACTTTAAAGGCATCAATATTTCAAAATGCTAGAAATAAAATGTGCAAAGTATCCATAGTCACCTTTGCTGTATCAAAAATTGCCCTATGTTTCTGGAAATCCAAGAACAACTTGGCGGTTATTAAATACCTCAGATAACGTCATACTATGTACATTTTAAAAGTAATATGTTACGTAATATAAGTAATCAATTATGCTTCTTTAAATCCGTTAAAGATCATCAGAGCATTTCTGTGAATTTCAAATGCAAATTCAAATTTACTACATTTATTGATATAAAATATAACTAGAAGGGGCATCATAAGCCAAAAGACCTAAATCAAAAAATATGTGGCTATAAACAGATAAAATGTAATTATACAGAGCAATCTCCATCCTCTTGCGCTATATCTAAACTTGTCCTGTGTATCTGGAGATCCAGAACAACTTGAGACGGTCATTAGATACCTCAGAAGATGTTAAACTATGCAAATTACCTGCCGATAAGATAGGGATATTAAGATATTAATGGCACAACTGTTCATTGACTATTATTCAAGAATGTAACTATTCTATATGAGTATCGTTAATTCATTAAATTCAAGCCCCTTTTAAGTCAAAACCTTGTTGAAACCAATATGTTACAATTATTGTTTAAAATTATATCATCTTTAAAGTCCCCGTCTAAAGTTTGAAAATATTTTTTTATCATTCATTTACTATTTGTCAGGACTTAAAAAGTGATTTTAGAGATTTTTGAAAAAAAAAATTTTGGGAAAAAAAGTTGTGAGCATTTCATTTCTCAAATATTCAAATTTCCCGCCATTTTTCAAAAAAAGTTGAAATTTCTTAATCATCAAATATTTCTTAATGCATTTCAAAAAAGATTGTCTTTTTAACACCAATGCAAAGATTGAACAAAGGACACACTATTTCAATAATAAAATGCTATATTTAATGGGCCACTTCAATGTTTTAGCATATCAAAAATATTTTGAAACATTAGTGATGTCACTAAGGTACCAAAAACTTTTAGAAAAAAATTGAATTTTTTTTTTCGATGTCAATCTTTTCTAAATATGCTAGACTTTCATAAAAAATAATTTTGATTGTCTAACCAGGTCAAAAGGAAGAACTCTACTCTGGGCGAAGGGTATGCACAATGGTGGATCTCAATATAGAAATAGTACATTCAACTTTCATCTGAATATCAAACACAGTGAGCTAGCTCTAGTTAAAATATATGAGTGCTTTATTTAAAATAAATAGTAATGACATAGAAAAGTTTGTGCATTTGCAGCATTCTGCTCAATCATACATAAAAAAGGATCACACCAACCAGAAGCTCTCATGAGAATATAAACATCACAATGCTTGGTAGTGGTAGTGGTAGTCTATCCTTCAAACTTGTTTTCTTAGTTTTGAAGCCCATAACTTTGGACTAAAATAATTGTGAAGAAGACTATATCTTCAATTCATTATTACATTGTTTTACCAAACATTTGCTCTACAAGTTTATACATAAAAAGTTGCAATAAATGAAGCCATTGAGCAACTGATAGATTGGGTGTGACTATAACAAATCCTCCTTTTGGATGTTTCACCCTCCACCTTAAAGGATTACATATCTTAAGTGGGACATCATATCAACCCTATAAAGTTGATGTTTTGGAGCAAATTCCTCTAAGTAACATTTTTTCATAAAATTAGATATTAAGATATATAAAACGCATGGAGAAATTTGCGCAGTTATACAGATTAGTATTTGATGTCCAATATTCAATGGTTTTAATGACCCTGAGATCCTTTAATATGAACTGTGATTTAAAATCGACTAAAACACCATCGTTCCTTAAATTAATTGTTAGACATTGTTTCCATATTTCAACTTAACTCAGCTCATTTGATGTTAAAACTCAGGTTTAGTAGTCAGACAATCTGATAGTCAGATCTCATAGTTGTCATAGCAACTCAGGTATAGCAGTCAGATAACTATCGCAAAATGTTTTCTGTTCTTTAGGAATATGGTTAATTCTAGTCCCTGTAGATTAAAACATCTCCATCTTCCAATATAGGGTGCTAGCTGCTAATGGTTTCCATAAGTTTGTGTTTCTTCAAAATCTCCACAGTTGACTTATATGCACTGAAAATGAAAGAGTAAAATTTACTATCGTCCCCATTTTATATTCAGTTTTAAGGTTTTAACATATTTTAAACAATACACTATTAGCTCAAAATATTTTTTATTTTTTATCTGTGCAGAAAGAGTTAAGAGGCGATCTCATCCATCCCGCATCTCATACTACTCAGAAATACTTTGAACTGTGTGCTATTCATTTATCTAGTTCTGTGGTGGTGGACTGAAACATTAACTAAATATTACAACTTTGGTACACTCAATTTATTTGAGTCATATTGCTTGGAAGGGCATCTTCAACTTCCAAGGTGGTAACAATATGAGGTTTAGAAACAGAAACCTTGATAATCAAGATACTGGAAGGGTGGATAGATGGATATTAGATGGACAAAAAGGATTCAGTATTATGCCCACCACGCGTCGGAGATTACATTATCACCATCTAAACTGAAGCAGATCTTGTTTTGGATTTACGACTTGGCATTTGTAAGGTTGTGTGCCCAGTTCTCCCTGAACTATTCAATGGTAAGTTATGCTTACCTGCCTTCTCTGATGATAGTGTAGTGTCCCTGGGTTGACAGATTTACAACAGTTGAACCTAGTCTTGACTCTTGAGTTTCACTTAGACGTCCTGCATCTAGAATAAAATCCAGCCTCGGCCACAATTCCTTGAATTCCTGAAATGTAACATGCGATCTATATGTTTAGCAATAGAGTAACAGTAATGTGATTAACCTCTTGACTACCCAGAATGACGAGATTTCTCGTCATCTCAGAAATGACCTTGAGACCCAGAGGGACGAGAAAATCCGTCACAAAATTTTTCACAAAATTTGCTCTCATTTGAACAATTTTCATACAATTTACACAAAAATTATTTTAAAACATGTAGAAATGATCTCTGCCATCTAATGTTACTAAGTTGAGCATGTTAAGTTGTGTAGGTATGTAGAAAAATGTCAAAAGGTGGCAAAAATGAAAAAATTGTCTGGTTTCAACCAATTTTAGAGCATGGGATTCAAGAGGTTAAATGCACTCATCGCTAACTTGGGTACCAGAAAGGACCATACACAACATGTTCTAGCATATGACTCCACATTCTGAGCATTTCATGATAGAAATAACCATGCGGTAGGATGTTTCAATAAGCTATATGCTGATTTTTAACCATCAAATGAATACATAGCTATCCATACTAAAACTTAATTCAATGGAACAATAACTTTTCTGACATCATTGTGTTTATGAAAAACATACCTCTACTGCTAATGTACTGGTCGACTTGCTAATATTAGCACTTGTCAGTGCTAATGGGCTGCCAAAATGCCTGCATAGGCGTCGCAAACAATCATTTGCAGGAATGCGTACTCCGACTAAGTCAGTCATGGGATTAAGAGTAGGGTTGAGATCAACGGTTCTTTGGAATACTAGAGTGACTGGGCCTGGCAAAAGATCTGCTAGCAATTCCTTTGATACTGTCACATGCGCCCACCTGAAGACAAATATCAACATTACATTTAATACAGATTGAGCCAAAAAAGGTAACCCAAATAAATCTTAATCACCCTGTACATACAAGCAGTCATTTTAAGTAAAAGTGTAATGTTCAAATTTACATATTATAAAATTATTTATATGCTGGTAAAGATGGAATCAGAGCTGGAGTGAGTACCATTCCTAATTTTTAGCTTTTTATTTAGAGCTTTTTTGTCAAGTATAATTTAATTTCATGCCTATTATTTGAAAATTCATAAACTTAATAACTAAGATGATACAGAGACTTTGAGACATTCTTGTCTGAGAAAAACATAAATGTGATCATATTAGACTTCTAAAGAGGACCTCAGGTGCATAAACCAGCTTTTGCAAGAGGAAAATTCCAAGGGGGTCACATTAGACAAATTTACCCTGAAATCACTTGAAACATGTTCAGAATAATGAAAAAACTGCATGATTTTGAAGAAAGTGTTGCCCCCTGCCCCCCCCCCCCCCCCTTTGGCTATGGGCCTGAACCATCATCAACTAAGGCAGTACATAAGAAACACATAAACTGTTCAATGAAATTTTCTTAAATCTTCACATCTGATGCTATCTTTATTCCCCTGAAATTTTTCAGATGAGACAAAATTGTTGAAGATAACTGAAAAATTCTCATGGATGATCCAATTTAGTATGTATTGAATATATTGAGGTATCTAACTCTGTAAATAGTGCAATAACTATGGGGCATGTGACTAATCTAGGAATATGATTGAAAACTTTTATGAACAAATGACACTCACTTGTTAATGTCTGATATATCAGCCACACATATTGCAATAGGATTAGAGGTATTTCTGTGCTTGATGTCATAGATCTTCTCGATAGCCTCAGAGTTTTGGGACATAGCAGCAATTCCATAAATTGTATCTGTGGGGACTGAAATAATTCCACCCCTCTCTAAGCTACCAGCCACCTTCGTTATTATCCCTTGGATCCCTGAAACAAAAAGTAAGAAGTAAGACTGAGAAAAAAAGATGGAGCCATTAACAGAAACAGTTACAACAATTGATTTACAAATTTGTAACTTTATGAAGTTTGTTAATGACCCCCTGAGTATATATGCGCAATTGGTAACATTCAAGCCATTTGAAAAGTATTTCAAATTTGAGAACTTTTGAAAGAATTTACCCTGTGCAGAGTCCAGTTATAAACTACCCTCTGCCTAGTATAGACCATATTGCAGTTTAATAGCCCCACCCCAAAGATTGGTGCCTTTGACAGAAATCATTTCAAATCTACCATGCTAACCCTTTATTTACCAGTCAGCAAAGTGGAAGGGACAAGTGCTAAATACATGCTCATAACTATGCTGTGATGTCAGAGGAAATTACCATTTAGAAAGTTGTCCATATTTTGACGATGGACTCTTAGCTCGGTGATATCAAATATTTATTGTAAACTGAAAGAGTGTAAAGACAAAGCTCTCTTTAAGAAGTGAAATCGAACGAATGCAAAGGGTAGATAGAATTTACATTGACCCAAAAACTAAGAAATGGCTTCACAAATATGAATTCTGTGATTGAAACTCATTCTTTAGACTCTAAGTATAGGATAGATGGTGGTGCTACATGTACATAGAGATGCGAGATTACACTCGGTTGCAGGTTCACAGTTGTTTTTGAGTAATTCATTGTGTATAATTTTTTAAACTAAGAGTAAAGTCTATTTCACTGCCTGACTTCGTCGGTAGAAGTTGAAAAATAAGATTTACCTGAAGATTAGGAGTCTTACATAGCCTCTAGAGGTTAGAACACACATTTTAATGAAACCATATCAGCTTTATTTTGTTCATGATGAAGCATAAGCACAGTACTTGATTGAAATTTGTGTTAATGCTTTTTGGATTTTTCCATTTTCCTCGTGTTTACTTCCGGGACAGCGTTGCCCCTATCACGAAATAATGTATTGACCTTGAACTTTAATTTTGTGACATGTCATCCAACCATGTCTGATGAAAAAACAATTAAGATATTTGAAAAGAATGTTTTGAGGTGTTTTGCAGACGAGTTTAGTACAGGGTAGGGGAGGATGGCCTGTTATAAGATAGAAAAAACTGCATGATCTACAGTTGAACTATTGGTCTGAAAGTATGAATGAGTCGTCTGCTGTATTAGTCTATTAATACACTAGGACCTGTTTGTAATGCTTTAAAATTAAGACCAAAGTATAGAAGAATACACACACATGTAAATTATAAAATCAACGAACAAACATTCAATTTTCACAAATGTTCAGTAATTTATTGTAGTGAAACTTCCGGAACTACTCGGAATCATTCATTTTCACGGTCCATATTTTACCTCTTGGATATTGTGCTAATACCCCCATAAATGTGGGGTTATTTTGAGTTTTTTTGATATTTAGGACATTTGTTTCTCAAAATAACCCCACAAAGTTAAGGCTTTGATTCTTTGGGGATTTGCTAAACAATAGCATACACATAGAATTTGTACTAATATTATTAGAATTTACTCACCTTTTTATGTTTTTCGTATCGACAAGACATTAATCTTCAACATGCTACCAAATATAGCCCTCTAAGTGTTGTATTCATTCTTGTAATGACGATTTAATACGGATAACAGATATTTCTAAAAAAGTTTTTCAAATTTCATGCGCAGTCGATATTTTTTATCTAAATTACAAACTTCGCGTAAATACGAAATCCAAAAGTAAAAATGGAGGGAAATTTTGAAAAATAATTTTCACCTTCCGGTGTATTAAGGGACTTTCAACCTCACGTTTGGCTGCTGTACCGTCTACGGCCTTTGTTTTCCTGAACTTAGGCATAAGCAATAATTTTGTTATTAATTTGACAGGTGATTTCGTTTGGCACTGTTAAGTTTCCCATCTACCACATAATTCCTCCCAAAATACAACGCGCGAAAATGGCCAAAATTTGAATAGATTTCGAGAGTCAAATATTACAGCAAATTGTTCCAGTTATAAAGTACTGTTTCGACTGATCGATCGCTCATTACATTGGAAAAAGAATCTTCTTCACAGAAGAAAAGAAAAAAGGTAAGGAAACTGCTGATATTGTCAGAACTTGAATCTTCAAATCATGTGAAAAAAAACACAAAGAATCAAAGCCTAAATGTGTGGGGTTATTTTGAGTAACAAATGTCCTAAATATCAAAAATCCTCAAAATAACCCCACATTTATGGGGGTATGTGCTAAATGCTCTATAGTTGACGCAACCAATGTGATAGGGTTCCATTGAAATCCGTGTTCTAACCACTAGATGGTATGTTAGACTCCAAATCTTCAGGTAAATCTTATTTTTCAAGTTCTACCGACGAAGTCAGGCCGTGAAATAGACTTTAAGACGTAATAATCAATAATATCAAAATATGCCTATGAACAAACAATTGCATGACACGATATTTCTATAATTCTTGCGAGTCTGGTCGACAAGCAAAACGAATATTTATTATATAGTCCTTTACATTTTTGAACTTTTTCTAATTTTCTTACCATTTTCTTCGCCAACTTTTGGCAATCGAATCAATTTTTGATCCATCTTTATCTTCTGTACTGCAATTGATGAACCCAATCGATTGACCGCGATATGAGCTATTCGTTGAAGGTGCATTTAGACGAATAAACCATCGTCTACAGTATTCATTTCACGAAATATACAAGAAAATATTTCATAGTATTTTCGTCATGTTTTATAAATTTCTATTATCGCTCACATACGACAGAAATACGAACGCTTATTTATTCATTTCAAGAGTTCGTAGTATTAGCTCCATCCTACATAATCATTACTGAAAACCCAGTGGGTTGCTTATGCCACACCAAACACGGACGTCAAGTACGTTTCTGGCGAAAGCTGGAGCATAGATTATTTAAGAGGACTGGAAACAAGATGGCAGTCTATTTCAATTCTGCCAATTCGTTTTGGCCTATTTATCACTATTGACTCAGTTGTTCAGCCTTACTGAGTAGTCCAAACGCTGCTTCGTCATTCGTTTTGCCGCCGGGATAACTTAGACCCAGGGCAAGTCGGACGGACCCTGGACAACTCGGACCCAAGACAACTTGGACCAAAGACAAATCGGACCCAAGACAACTCGGACCATTTTTTAAATAGGCTAATGATTTTTATCATTGTTTTTTTTAGTTTTTGCATATGCGTAGTATTAAATATACATTGTGAATAATTGTAGGCTAGTAATTTGATGAAAATAATTACATCAAATTGACACAATACTTGAATTCACAATATGTATATAATTATGTCATACTCAACATAAAACAAAGTAATAAAAACCATGGAGTTGTCTTGGGTCTTTAGCTTCAATATTTTCTTTCCGAAGTTCTTAATACATTTCAATACCTTTTCTTCTAAACTCTCATCAAATGTCAAATAAGCTGATTTAAAACAATCAAATTAACACAATTAATGAATTCACAATATATAATATATGTCATCTTAACAAACAAGATCTTGTAGATAACCAGGTTGTAAATTTAGAATATCTGGAAAATTGTTTGATGGAGAGCTATATATTAGAATGGTCAGAGGCTATAAAAGCAAAACCCAAGTTGAGAACTTATGTTACATTTAAGCAAGAATTTAAAACAGACAAATATCTCATGTTAAATTTTTCGAGGTTTGAACGTAGTTTAACTTCACAGTTAAGATTAGGCATACTACCACTCAGAATAGAAACAGGTAGATACAAGGGTGAAAGTGTAGAAGAAAGACTTTGTATTTTATGTGATGAAAACAAGGTTGAAAATGAGGCACATTTTTTATTTCAATGTACTAGATATCATGATATAAGGTTAAAATTCTTTCAGAATCTTGACCTAAATAATTTAGAAGAAAGTGAAAAAATGAAACTTCTTTTCAATGAACACACCTGTAAGATAGTTAAATATATCAAAGAAGCATTTATTAGAAGAAGGGAATATATTTATAATCATTGACTTTCTCTTATATATACTTAACAAACAAAGCATTACTGCTGAAATTTGATTTTTATAATTTGTAAAAAGTGGTTGATAAGCCCAAGGTGGGCTGGGTAAATTATTGTATTACACTGTATTACTGATATATATTGTATGTAAGACCGACCACTATAATATGAAATAAACTAACTAACTAACTAACAAAAAATTGAAACTTCTCATGTTGTAACCCTAATGATGTTAATATTATAATTTCAAAAAGTGGTCCGAGTTGTCTTGGGTCCGAGATGTCTTGGGTCCGACTTGTCCTGGGTCCGAGTTGTTTGGTTAACCTTCATTCACATCAGAGCGTTTCACTTCATACTGATCCGGCCCCAGGGAAACGCTCCGGAGCCCCGGGTTGATTAACATTTCTACAGGGGTCAGGGGGTTTCGTTTAGCTTCAAAATGTCCACCCACATCTAGGGAATATTTTTCTCTAAAAATGGACCCACATCTAGAATTTTTCCTTCAAAAATAGATTATAGGGTTTTCAAGAAGTAGACTCTAGATCCAGTATATAGATTTTAGGTGTTTTGTGTTGCCGTTTTTTTGAATTCATTGTGACGACAATTTGGACCTGTGTGTTTTGCTTTTCATTGATGTTGTATGGTTGTGTTATGTGGCGATGTATCTTTCTTTAAAATCGGTGTTTGTTTTCTATTGATAACATGGATAATGGGTGTATATGTTGAGATACTACCTGGTCGTAACATTCCGTGCAGACTCGACTTCATGGGACTTCATACACTCTAAAAATTAGAAACGCCAAAACAACGCTTGTTTTAACACTTATTTGCAACAGATAATTAACACGTTTTAATGTATAATTAACACGTTTCGACGTTAATATCAACGTTTGTACGTCATTGTATATGCGTTTATTAACACGTTTGTGTGTTTATTTTTTAAATATTAACATATTTAAGTGTATTTAAATTATACATTTTAACGTGTTTATGTGTTTTTATTTTTAACACAAAAACGTGTCTCAGGGCTTGCAACAGATAATTAATACGAAAACGTGTTTATCTCCAACAATGTGTTAAAAAGTGTTAATGTTTAACACTTCTGAAACACTTGAAAATATCCTGTCATAAGGGTGCAGATGAAATTGGTCATATCTGTTTCTTCATTTTTTCATGTTTTATTCAATGGTTCACTTTTTTCACCAAGAATATCCATAAATACCAAGGAATGCGATCGACAACGTATTTCAACGCTTTGTGTTTATTCGGGTTGGAGATCCGCCATTTTGAAATATCAACTAAGCATCTTGACATTTTTCATGTGGGAATTATGAGACACACATTTAGTGTGTTATTTAATATACATTTCCATAGTGTTCCTTGGTATTGGTATTATATACATAAGTAGTCAACGAACAGTCTATGCGTTTGACCTTGCACCATTAAATAAAACACGAAGAAACAGAACTTACCAAACGCCTCGTGTTAAAAAAGCTCCTGTAATTACGCACCAACGTGTTAAAATACCAAAAACAAACACATTAACACGTTAACATAACAACACTCGTTTTTAGAGTGTAGAGCTTTGGCTCATCACTGATGGCATCCCGGGAGACCGTTATATGATGTGTTCACATATGTTTGTACATCTCCCTAGACAGGTGTAAACTGATCATTTTTTCCATTCAGGTGTTTAACAGTTCTCCTTTCTACCTCTTTCAACTCATTTTTAAATATTTGACTTTGATACCACAGTGTCATGCAGTGCTCTTGACTGACCATTCTGCTGTCATAATGATTTCTTGAGAATTTGTCCAACAGAATGTTGTGATACGACGTCAGATACTGTACATCGCGGCATTTTACTGCATTTTTACATGCGTACTTAATTTTAAAACCGCAATATCTCGACAGCAAAATCATATTTTTCTACAATTTTTCGTCATCAGTTGAACACGTATGTCCATGAAATATTTTGCCTATCAGAATTCCAAATAACCGATTTGGGACTTTTTAAATGAGAATCACGCAAGCCGCATTATGCGACTTTCTATGCTAAAACCGGGTGTGGACTGTAACATTTTGAAGAAAAATGATTTTAATTTTAAACGAAAAATGAAGATAACTGTATCATTTCTTAACGGATCTTTCTCAAATTTCCACAATATTTAAATTCACCATTTTGAAAAAAACAAACAGATTCTGTGTGATGACGTCATAATATAACAATGCTAACTTAACGCTTATATTTATGCAAAAAAAGTGTGGACAAGCAGAATTTCGGACCAACGAGATATATATTTTGATAAATTAAACATTAAATCGTTTGAAAGGTGAATTATTCTTTTTTGATTCCTGAAAGGCATATCATATTCTATATTTTTATCAAAAAACTATATCATTTCGATTAAAATTCAGTCTGTAAGAAGCATAAATGAAAGAAATATGAAGTGCCGGAGCCATGTGAAAAATTCACAAAATTACGTTTCATTTTTTGAGTTCAAATATTTCTAATTAAGGGATAAACATTCAAAACTTTTCAATGTTTCAGCATGTTAATTTCATTTAATTTGAACCAGTATATATTGAGATAGACATCATTTTATCACCGCAACCCCAAGTGAAGCCTTTACAAAATAAGACGTTACGCCGTTAGCGTATTATATGTTCTCCTTTATTATTCATTGTTTTAAATAAATAAAACTAAATATTCGACTTAAAATAAATTACCAATAATGCATTTAACAATCCTTAATATCTTCCCGTCTGTGTATATCAGTTGAATATGACAAGGGGCACTTTGAAAGAGTCTAGAAAGACGGTGCGACAACGAGAGCGCAGGGCCGAAAAGCGCGACAAAGAAGAAAACGGGTAGGGTTTTAAATGTCTACTTTCTGGTGATTCTAATTCTGTATATCGTGATACAACCTTTTTGAATATAGAATTGTATTGAAGCGCACATTAATCTGAACAAAACTTGAAGTTTTTAAGAAGATTCCACGAATATTAAAACTTCTGCAATTACTTGGAGGAGCATTGCGCATATTTATCGCGTAAATCTTTGCATTTTGTCGGTAAAATGAACAATTACAATGAATGTTACGCCGTGATGTACAGTATCTGACGTCGTATCTGTATAATAGTGTTTTGAGGTGTTTTTGCTCAGAGGCCAGGGATTTCAATCACCTGATTTTTACTACTTGTTTTAACCATTGCTTAATCTTTATTTGTCATTTGAAATATCAAATGAGACTTTGATTTTACGTTTTTTGGAATTTCTTTCTGAATTTCTCATAAAATCTCAAGATTTGATTTTGTCAAAATGTTGATTTTCCGAAAATTGGACACATTCTAAGGTCATGATATCACAAATAATCGATTTTACGAACCTTTACATCGTATTATCCACAGATCGTAGTTTATGCACTTAAAAAACTGGGTTGATAGGATGGTATTTACGAAATAATTATACTTTTAGAGGGTTCTGTTTTTGGGTCACCCTGTATTTCATTATGGTGTCACGTCAGTGCATTAATTTATACGCTCCGTTTTTCTTATTGTTTCAGAAAACAAAGTCAAAGAAGCACCAGATCTTGATCCATTTGTTATATTAATTCACTTGTACTTTTTATTCTTTATTAGTATATCATACCAATACACAATATAATTTATAAATATTTTCAATTACTCAAGTTATATTAGTTTTAGACTGGTTCATTCTTGACAACGCAGCGTCCCCAGGAGCACTTGCCCTCCTTGAAAGCACGGGCGATGGAATTTTTGTCTTTTCATGGAAACTTGACCTTCTCGGCGACAATGAACCCCGTCGTTTTTCATTTCCCTTGGACTCCTTTGTGTCATTGATCGTTACTGAATGACGCCTTTCTTTTTTAAAAGAGGCTGGTTGGTCTTCAGTGCCAGTTACAGTCATTTCTTTGTCAGGCGATCGTAACCGCGTTAACGTCGGTATAGAAGACTTCCTTTTAGGCGTTGGTGAGATCGATTTCTCCACATTGTCATGCGTTGAATTTAGTGAGGAATCAGGTTTCACTTTAATATCATTGGGTTTAATATCACTCAGAGCCTTTCCGATTCTGTCTTTCAACTCCGCTTGGACTTTCAGAGAAGCTGATATACTTTTATGAGATCCTGTTTTTGCACCCGAATTCTTCTTTTTTGCCTTTCTAGCTTCCTTTAGCTTCTCAGATTTTTCAGCGTTTATGATATCTTGCTCATCAAATCTCACAGATTTTACAAGATTATCTGAGTTAATACCCCTTTGTGATTTTAGAGTACTTTCCCTCGAACTCGACCTCATATATTCTTCAGTTGCACCTTTAGTTACACCTTCAAATGAATCCTCCTGCGTCCCTGTCAAACATTTTGTTGTGTCATATATCCTTAAATCACTCGCCACTTTACCTGTTTTTTCCTTTTCACCTCCTTTGCTGTCCGAGTCTTTGTTGTCACTTACTGAACTGTCATCAGGTAAAAAATAATCATTGTCCTCACTATCCCAACTGAATGATTTATCTTCATCGACATCATCATCAGACAAAGTGGCCCTTAGTTGTTTCTTGTAGGATGGTATAGATGCAATTTGTACAATGAGCCTGTCGTTCTCCTCCTGTAAGGCAATGTTCCTCGATGACTCTGAAAGGAAAAATAATCAAAGTTGCCATCACTTTGTGCATAAAAAGAAAGAAAGGTTTTACGTATAATAATGAAGAATTCAAAAATGCATATTGTGCAGTATATTGTGTGTTAGTTTGAGACTTTCACAATGCATGGTGGACTGTACCTTGTTTAAGAAGTCTGATTTCTGTCTCATATTCCGTTATTCTTTGTCTCATATCATCTATACCAGGCACAACTTCCTTGTCTCTGTCCATAGAGTCTTCCATCTCTGAGAGCTCTCTCTCATGAAGAATTTGCATCTCCTGGTGAAAAAAATATTTTTTATGAGAAAGCAGCATCAGGTGAAGGCAAACAGTCTTAACACTTAAAGTAAATAACAGCAACATAAGAAGTATCTTTATGGAGCAATACATGAAAATAAAAATATATAATTGAGATATTAACCTCCATTCCTTCTTTTAGAATATTAGCGTTTCGCACAAGCATATCTCGCTCTTCTTTTAGCTCTTCTATGTGCTCTTGAAATGCTGCAATTAAAATAGCATATGAGTTCAATTTTTCGTTTAATTTCATATGGGCCTAAATGCTTGTTCAATAATCTGAAAGGTGTGAAAATAATATTATATTCAACATATAAACTCCTCTTAAATACCTTAGCATATTATAGAGGTGCTAAGGCACGAACAAAACATGATAAGATATGTATGATCTAGACTAATATGGAGTATCTTTGATTTCCAAAGTTCAAAAAAAATATTGACCGAACGATCGACTGGCGGACTTACCTCGTTCAAATAATACAAGATGTAGATGTTATGTATAGTAATAGTTTAAAATACACTATTTTACTACTTACACATATTCTGTCTTTCAATCTGAACATATTTTCTTGTCAATGATTCCTTTTCATGCACCGTCTCATCTAATTTTTCTTGTGATTTCTCCTTGTCCTCTTGCGTAGCTTTGAGACGATCACTGACAATATGTAATTCATTGGTCATAGATTCCAATTTATGTTCCAACTCGACTGGGTCTTCGTGCTTAGTAATTGCCAATAACCTCACATTTAATTCATCAGTGAGGGACTTGCTGAAAAGAGATAGTTCGTTAGCTAGAATATCGTTAATGCTGCAGTTAGAATACACATATGACTCAGTTTGGGGATATACCAACTATTATAAGAAACATACGTTTTCTCATTCTCTTCCATTAGAATTTCAATTTCAGAATTCTTAGTCTCCAATTGAGAATCCTTGTATTCAAGAGTAGTTTGAAGACGCTGCAGCTCCTGTTTGACTTCATCAAGTCCATCTCTTGAATTGCTGAATGCAACAGTGTCTGTACGCGTATCTCTTTCTTTATATTCCTCTAGTTCCTGAAATTACACTGTACAGCATGACCAGCAATGTTCAGATAATTTTCATCATATTTTGAAAATGTAAAACATTATATATGTTAGGATTCAAAGCACGTGGCAAGTCAACAATAAATGGAATTCAATGATTGCTATAGCAACATAGTCGGTAATAGGCTCGTTCATAGACATCACTTTTTCTTGATTGTTATTATTATGAATGCTGCTACTGAGTAAACTGCAAAATAATGCAATGGAAAAGTTGAACGTTTTGATTGCGCAGAGTTTTGGAATTTCCGAAATATTTACAAACCTCAAAAATATTATCTAAAAGTGTACACATTGAGGCCACAGGCATTCTTAATGAACTATGTTTCTATTTTGTTTTGTATATTTCATCAGAATCCAATATTAATGTTCGGTAAATAAAACACTAATTAACACATTTTAGATTTTCTTACTTCCTTTAGGGTCTGGATAAGCAACTCCTGTTTCTCATGGATATCGTGAGCTTGAGCTAGATCTTGCTTTACCCCAGATAAATCTTTCTCTAGCTTGTGATTCTTGGCTTCTGATTCTCTAAAAAGCGCATATGAAAACTTAACAAATGCTTCAGTCACATTTGATCTATACTACTGCAACCATTTCTTCCCAAAATCGACAGAAATTCATGCAGCATGAAATACAGGCATAAGCAGTACGATGTAGATTTTCTATATCGATTTCGTGAAGTTACGGACGATTTACGCCCACCGGCTAATGTGACCGAGGCTAAGTGTCCAATTACATAACTGATATAAAATAGATTTTCTATTAAATATTCACTCACTTGAGATCAATATGGGAACATTCCATTTGTACATTAGGTTTTGAAGATCCACATCCGTTGTCGTTGTTGTCTCTAAATTCTTTGATTTCAAACTCTAATTTCTTGACATGTTCTTCTGCCCTTTTCTTGGCATTATCCAGTAGTAGGTTCTGACCCCCCAGAAGGGTGACTTGGCTTTGAAGTGAGGTCTTCTCTTTCTGGAGAGATATCACCATTGGATTTTCTGTATTTTCTGTATCCCCAGCAGTTTTATTAACATCAACATTAAATCTTTGGGGTTGTGTGTTAGCCTCATTGAGGGCCTCCTTTAAGCGTTGCACATCTTCTTTTAAATTATGATTCTGAGCTTTAAGTTCTGTGAATTCTTCTCTCGAAATCATATCCTTTATCTTGGAAGCATCACGATATAGAGTTATGTTTTCCTGGAAGATAAAAAACATTTAGTTTATAATCAGCCAAAACAGAATCAATTAGCGAATCAATCATTTACCAAAGCGTCTGTCTAAATAGGTAGTGTCTGTACTACCTGCTCTAATTGGGTCAACTTTTCAGTCACCCTCTCATTGACGTCTCTTAGCTGGACATTCTGTCTCTCAAGCTCTAAACATTTAGATTCTATCATTGTCACCGACTCTCTTGGTTCGTAGAACATGTCACTTTTTGCAAGCATTTCCTCCTTCTCTGCAATCAGTGAGTCTTTTACACGCTCCAATTCACGCAATTTGTCCCTGGAAACAATATAACATTACATTGCTTTATCTAATAAATCTTTAATATGAGTTACATGGGCGAGGCTGTACGAACTAACATTTTATATAGCCTGTTATATTTTTTGTTTAATTTCGTAAGAGTCGTAAGCTTGCATATTCAACAGTTTCCTGTAACGGGAGCTGAAGTTCACAAACTTATGTTTTGTTACAAGGGTTGTTCAAAAGGTTTCTCCATAGCTAGCAATGTTTTGTATTGTATTATATTGTACTTGTATTGCATTGTATTGTTATATATTGTTTTGTATTGTAGAAACGTTGCTTATATAATATTTCTTACTCTAAAAGTGATTTCTCAGCTTCGAGTTGATCTACGGCAGCTTGCAATTGTTCCAAATCGTGTGTCCTGTTTGTTGTCATTTCATTCTGCAATATATTGGAAATTGGATAGTAGCTGTGGTATAAATTGGATTTCTTTTTTCAGTACTTTAGGTATCATTTCATAGATTTCCCAAAGGAGTTATCCCAAATTAACTTCAAATATTTGTCACTTGGAATGTACGAGTGAGAATCAATAGCTCTTGTATACTGGCATTATATAATGTAGGAATCATATCCCAAAAAGACCAAGGTAAACCAAATGGCACGATTTTGTGATTTTTTGTGAATTTTTAAATTTGTACACATATCATTGTCAATTCAAGTATTTTCTGTTTTGAAACATACATTACATTGTGAAAGTTATTCTCTTTAAAGGGCAGTTAACTAACAGCAACCATGGAAATAACCCCGAAAAATATATTTTATAAATCACCCATCATCGCCATATATGTCAATCGAATGTGTGTTTATCATTCAACACTATTATTCAAAACATACATTTTTGGCAAGGATATTTTTCTGCATTTCAAGACAGTGTATCATTTGTGCATTCTCGGCATTCTCCTGCATGAGCCTCTCGTTTTTACTCTGCATCCTGTTAAACAGATACGTCATAAATATAATACAGTATAGTATAGTATGTGAAATAATGAATGTCATAAATATACATGTAGTATTATGTGAGTGAATCTAAGTCATAAACCAATCTGCGATCAGAGTAGACAATCAGAGTAGCAAGTGCACTTGTTTATCTATCTAGCCAATAATTGACCCGGGATAAGAATAAAGTGTCAATATTACTTATTATCCTATGCCAAGTAGAGTTTTAGGGAGATAAGTTGGTAAGATATATCCCTTATAATGATTTTGAGGTTTCCATATCCTGAACCTCCATATCTCCCGCCAAATCTCCCGCTCCAGGGCATATCTTCCCGCTTCGAAAAAAAATTTTGAAAAAAAATGTGAAAAAATTGAAAATGAAAAAAATAGAAACAAAAATTGAAAAAATAGAAAAATGTGAGAAGAAAATAGTTATGTACGGTCGGTTTGGATATTGGGTTCATCCCTCGTGAGATATGCACATCTACCTTCGGTCCCTACGGTCCCTCAAGTAGATATACATATCTCCCTCTGGATAAAGCCCATATCCAAAACCTCCCAGTACATAACCCTTATTTATTAGTGAACTCAATGGTCCATTAGATGTTCGTTGCCATTTGTCCTATCTCTACAGGTACGTATTAAAGGAACTTACAGTTCAAGCTCGCGTGCTGTTCCTTCAAGCTCCTCGCATTGTTGCTGAAACATTTGTTGGTTTATCCTGGCATTGTTGTTCTGAAAAATACATATTTATGGCTCATTATCTTCATAAAGCACACAACGACAAGGCAGATCACTAACAAACGGCTGTAAATCTGTTACAGCCGAGTCATATGATACAAAGCTGAAATTCTTGAGGTAACTTGTCTTTAAAATGATATATGAGACAACATGTAACATAAGGTACTTTTTGCTGTAGAGAGGGGGTTACCGTTGTTTTTCTCTTAATTAAACATATTTTAGAGAGGTGTGAATTGATATTCGTTTAGTTATTTTGGGAAGTGACTTATTAGTGAAGCAAAGAATTGTCGGAAAATGTTAACATGACTATGTGATTCCTACTAATAAGTACGTCACAGTGGTATACATTTATTTTTGTATGCTATGAAATAATTTGTATTTACGTGTGAAGATATATTCTTATTTATTTCATGATGAGAAATATTTTTACCAATTCTTCTGTTTCCTGAAGTGTTTTAGTGATGTTGTCCAACTGGACCTCTTTTCTTGTTAGGGTAAATGTGAGATTCTCACATTTAGATCTCCAGTTCATCAGTTCCTCTTGCAATATGTCTGCATTAGTTTTAAGCTCATCATTAGCAGCCTTCAGTTTCTAAAATGGGATATTTTCAAGATTATCATTTCATTTATATTATATAAAATTACTAATAGTTTATATTTTTGGAAATTCTATTTAAAACAATTCTAGTCCGAATGGCTGTTCTGGTATATATTTGCATAACTGACAGGAAATGTACATTACGCCTATCATAATAATCATAATCTAAATATGGATATAGTCTACGATTGCTTTCATTTATTCAACCTTGTTTTGTTCTGGCATTTATTAATACCACTTACATTTTTCTTATTGGTAGACCTACCTCTTTCAATAAAGCTATCTCTTTTTCCGATGTGTCGATCTGCAGCTGATGAAGATTTTGTTTTTCCATTGACATCCGTTGCAATTCATTTAACTTCTCCTCCGATACAACTAACTTACTCTGAGCAGAGGAAAAGTCTTGAGTTAATCTTTCTTTGACCTGAAAATTATTCACATTCGTATTTTCAGCTTGTAGTCATATTCAAGTGATCTGTGTACATTAAACCTTCTCCGAGTTTTAAGGTACACGTACGTTTGACTTTTCATGAAAGTTAAATAACGTGCAGTGAATGAGAAGTACTTTATGACCCAATTATCACCCACAGGGCCTAAAATATTACTGAATGAAATAGTTCATACGAAGAATAAGAGTCAAATATGTCGACGTATGGCATTCCTATATGTCAATTTTACAAATGTCTGAATACCCTCGCAGCTTATGAATGAAACAATAATGAACGTGATTATGAATCCTTACTTGAAGTACTCACTTACCTCTTTTAATGTTGTGATATCTTTTTCCAATGTGTCGATTTGCAGTTGTTGACGATTCTGTTTCTCAGTGGACATCTGTTGCAAAATATTTAATCTCTCCTCGGATGCAACAAATTTATTTTGTGCAGAAGACAATTCCTGGGATAACGTCTCACTGACCTGTAAAATACGTATTCAAAATCATATATCCCCAACACAAAACGGTAGAATATTTATATTAAGTTCAAACGTGATTATTTGGCGGCATTGATATGGGTAATTTTTATCTTAATTTTCTTATTTGGAAAAATTGTGTTTTCGAAAGTTTCTTACTTTTTGGACACTATCAAATCCATTTTGAAGTTTCTTATTGTGTTCCAAGGCTTTGTCCAGTTGATGTTTAGTTTGAGCCTCGTCTGACAGGCTAGCTTGGAGACGATCTTCTAACGACATCATGTTCTGTAAATAAGGACCATGAGTACCAATCCAACTTATGAAGAGAGAACTACACAACTGAGGAAATTAGTAGACAAGGTCAAAATGTAGTATTGAATAGTTCAACGAATAGTTCACAATGACCTGAAGATGCATTTGATCTGCTCGAAATAGATATCGAAAAATGATGGATATAACAAATGTATCCATTTTATATGCTATAATTTAACTGACCTGCCTACCCTAAATACAGGTAACCATGGCAACCTTATCTCAAAATCAATTCAAGATATAGCTGTAATATTTTGGAATTCTATGTGTATATATATGATCTATATGTTCTGAAACAAATGATAGTAGGGTATATGAAAAATCACAAATGAGAGCATTTATATCAGAATATATGGATCGCCCCTTGTATAACATAAAATGAACATCGAACGCTTAAAATTCTTACTTTATGCATAATGTCATATTCGTGCTGTGTCTCCTGGAGTGCAGCGTGGAGGTCCATTTTTTCTCGTACTATTCTAGCTTTGTCCTCTCCCATGGTGTCCATTTGGGCACGAAGGGCTGCCTGTTTATCCAGCAGAACCCCATTCTGTCTTAACAGCTGATGTCTTTCCTACATTAATACATTAAAAATGAAATTTTCCACATATGTGTTTAGTACTCTCATGTTTGTGGTTATTCAAGTAACCTACGGAGTTTTTGCATTTCCTGATATATTCTTTCTCACCAAAATTATGTAATCAAGTTTTGGTATATTTTTATGAAATGCTGACCAACACCTGATGACTTTCTTTAAATCATCAAGAACTAGTGAAACAAACCTCTTGATCAAGATGATAGGCATCTCGATATATTTTAGCGCAAGAATTGTTAACTTGAAAGAGGAGTATGGACATAAGATTAAGAATGTTCCAAGAACTGCAACGGATGGTCCCAGATTATCCCCCCTCCAGTTTTGCTATTCAAGTAATTCATCACTTTATGTATTTATACACAACAAGATGATGTTTACAAAGATGCCTTTACTGTTATGTCTATAAAGACGCCACATTGACATTGATATCCTAAGATTTACACGTATGTCTCACCTCAGACAAATCGCTAAGCTCAGCATTAGCTTTCTTAATCTCCATCTTCATATTGTTGTTAGCTGCTTCGAGAAGTGACAACTTGTTTTCATCGTTATCATTCCTTGCCTTTAAACTTAGATATGTCTGGAACCATAAGATATATGGTATAAAAAACGGTATGTAGGAATTATTCGCTTTTCAAAACGAGGCTCATTTACTTTTCAATGAACAACGCTCACATGGAAATATCACACGATATTTTATGTCACGTGATACATGTTATCCAATCACAGAATAAGAAACACGACAGTCGAGATAATGTTAAACGATTTAATTGCATTGCTTAAACAGTGGATCTTTAGATAACACTAGATTTTACCTCTTTTAACTGATAAAGTTCAGTTTTATTATCTCTAAGTTCAGTTTCTGTCGTCCCAACTCGATCTCGAGCAATAGCAAGAGATTCCTTCAACGCTACTATCTCTTTCCCCATACTCTCCTTTGTCTGAAAGCATAAGGGACATACGAATATATGGCCATTCTGTTTTATGATTGAAACAAGTTGGGGATTGAATTATTGTCAATTTCATGTTTAATTGTATTCTAAATACTTCTTAGTTAATTTTTTATTTGTCCTGCAATGCAGTTTGAAATATAGTAAACGTACAGTTACAGTAATAGTCAACCGGTTTGTCTAAAAAGGGACAAAAAAGACAAGAACATGTTCACCCACCATCGATAGTTTTCCGTTCTCCTCCTCTAAAAGATTGATGGCTGCTCGAGTCTGTTCAACGACCGCTTGTCTCTTACCCTGTTCCGCCTGCAGCAGACTGTGTTCTGATCTTAGTGTACGTAGCTCTAAGTCAAGACCATCAACTCTGTGACAAATTAGGATAGTTTATTTCTGATCAAAATATCAGGATGCATTTTTAGAAAATTTTGTCATAGCAATAGACAATATATTGTATAAAATGGTCGATAGAAATGTCCGGGAAAATATTAGAATAAACAAAAGTTTTCAAATTGGACGTTTTGTTATTGAACTGGATTATCCATTCTAGCAATTAAATGACTCGCACAAAGCTTACCGTTCTTGCATTTCATCTCGTTGTTTGAAGAAATCTGTTCTCCAGTTATTTTGATCGTTTCGTTCCCTCTCCAACTGTGCTATTTTTCTTTTGTAATCCTAAAATACAATGAAAATTAGATCATAGACTGAAACGTTTACTTTTTTTGCTAAAAATGATTCAACACAAATCATATCTAATAGCATTGTTTCTCCCGTCTTTATCCTGATACCACACTTTTTAAACGCTTGTATATTGAATATCTAGTCTTGAATACGTGTTACACCCGTCCGTAAGATTACCCACCGTAAACTCCCTTCTGGATCGCATATTAAAACCTTTTAATGTTTGGCGATTTAATGAATTCATAAAAATCATAAATTCCTGAACAACTAAACTAAAGTAAAAATAAAGATTTAAACATGAACACGCTAATTTAAGTTGCCGTTTGACAAACCTAAGGAGGGATGTACGTCCCCGTATATTATACTATGCTTGCCTACTCACATTTTCCCTGTGTCTGTAGTCATCTGACTCAAAGTTGCTCTTCTTTACTGACCCACAAAATTGTTCATACTTTTTATTTTGATCCTGAAAAATATCATGTTCGTGCATATATAAAGGCAAACTAATTTGAAAAATGGGTTACTCCTATATTTAACACCCCGTCCCTCTCCAAAGTGTTAAATTTCTTTTTGAATACTAGATAGTATAGTGTTTGTTTCGAAGGCAGAACATCAACAGACATGGATGTATATGTGATAAATGATTCTTTCAGTTTTTTCAATTCTGGGACCTGTGTACTTACAACAATAACTTCGTGAGCGTCTCTTAACTTTTGCAGTAGCATATCACGTCTGCACTCGCTTTCCTGTAGACTTCTAGATAGAGATTCGCTTTCACGTACTTCTCGCAATGACCTGGGACAGATAAAAAAGACAATCTCAATTGGCATGGAGTTGATAATTGCAAAATAAAGTGCAAGGGGCATATTTTGTAAAATTTGGTGATATATTATATTATACCTGTCATTGTCTCTTAAAGATTTATGAGATGTCCCCGGACTAATGCCAAACGATCCTCTCTGTGGCACTCCTATGGGAGATATCGACCTTGACGTTAGGTCATTAAGGTCATTGTCAATGAAACGGACTGGTGATTTTATGCTGCTTCTGTAACTTGACGTTGACCTTACATGGTCATCGTCGAGATCCCTAGTGTATAATGCTACTCCGGGAGATTTTGGCCGTCGTGGTTCATACTTGAAGTCTTCTTTGAAACCATGACTTCCTGAGAAGGATGACCTCACATGTGATACTGACGCATCATGCTCATCATCAAATCTCGTTTTCGGGCGATTTGAAATGCTGTTATATCTGGCCGACGTGTACCCGTTTCTGAAAATAAAAATTAAATAGTCTTGTCTGCAGAGGAAAATTGTGTGTGACACATATTATACGTTTGGATAGAGAAAATACACCTGACATTAATTGTATAAATAAGATTTTTACTGGTGTTTTGAGGACGCGGAATCTTTGTCACACGTACACTAGGTCCCATTCATTGAGAAGTTACGGCGGGGAACAACAAAACAATGAGTGTAGTTTAAAGTTCTAATACAAAAAGGTAAAACCAATATTATTTTTAATGTGAGTGAATTACAATGTTTATAACTCACCCGATGCCACTATCGGAATCTACATGTCCTGATCGTTGCCTGAAATCCATGAGATCCTTGTCGTATACCCTCTCAGAGATTGGTGTCGACCTAATGTAGGAAGTCATTTGTATCTCCTTGTCAGTGTCGATATCCAGTTAACATTAATATATGATGGAAATCGTTGTTGGATCTTGCTGTTGTTCTCCGGGTTGTTCTCCAGAAAGCCATATCAACATTTATAAGTTGATTTTACATGTTCCGTTTTGATTTTGTACACACTCGTCAACATCATTGATAAAGTGATAAATGCGCATTCTGAATGATGTTTAGATGTTGAATATCGATATATACTTCACCCAATCTCCAAATTCAAATAATACTGGAATACTTGACATCTCTTCTAATGTCCATTTTACGTACCGTTCACATTTCCACTTTACCCTGCATCTCACTGTACCCTGCACCTTTATGTACCTTAACAGTACAAACCACTACTGTAATTAGAACATTAATTGATCCGTTAATACATATGTATATTCAATTTATAGATTAACGAATTCGAAATGTACTGTTCTGGTCATAGATCTCCAATGTAAACTGTATAACCGTCAAGCTAAGTCGGCATAAAGGTAGCTAAAACTCTCAATCAATTGTGAACAAACATTTAAAAGCGATTATCTTCAGTATACCCGTATATAGTATAAATACGCGTAAAGTATAGTATTACATTATACACAGCATACAATATAATAGTGAATGGACGACATGAGACTTTAGACCCTATGTATAATAAATAAAGGATTTCGAGGCACCGTTGGGTGATCTGCTGCTATCCTTGTAGCTGAGTATGTTATGTATATATCGTGTAGAATGTAAATATAACCTACATCAGCCATTTTACTTTTAGTTTTAAAATGGTGTATGGAAGCATTAAACTAAGAATTTGAATGTTGTCATTCGCTTTGAATAAGGGTCGACTTAAATCTATTCACTTATTTGACAAGGGTACCCTTTTAGCTACAAGTATTGCAATCATACTTTATAATTGAAAACAATAGTGAACAAATAGGATAACTTTATATCGATTCTATTGCAAGTTCTTTCTTCTTATTTAATTAAGCTTGTTTTATATGTCTAGTGTTTTAAAAAATGGTTCGAGTAAAATATTCTGTGTTAACCCTTATGTCTGAGATTAAAAGTGCTAAACATTTAAATAACTGTCTTTAAATGTTTACTTTCAACAATCATTTCAGACTGGCTAATAAGAAACATGTCATATTTTATACATTTTCATATAAATACTGTAATAAGTAATAAGTAAATAATGGTATTAGTTACCCGGAATTAGTTATTGAGTTTCTAAGTGGGAATCGGGAGTTTTACAATACTCTATGTGATGGGGTCAAAGATTCTTTCATTTCATAACACGGGAACACAATATGTATTCACAATATCAATCTCATTTGACAAATGTGCGCTAAGGGTCACTAGATTATAAAGGATCGATCCTTCAAGTAGAGCTTTAGAGGGCTCCCCAAAAAGGGGGCAGTGAGGTCGCTTTTGTCAGTTTTAAAGTTTACTTGTCATATTTTGTTAGATTCATTCCTTTTTAGTCAATCAAAGCATTTAGTATAACAGAGGGTTTGTTATGTTCCATTGTTTGATTACTGGTTTTAGAATATGATAGCCATTTTAACTTGTCAGTCAGATCAATGTTCAAAATTGTCACTTGCAAGCATTTATTTGTCACATGTTTTCGTTTTTAAATACCCCAAAGTCACATTTAGTCCCATTTTTAGAGGCCAGGTCGCCTTGTCACATACCCCTTGGGGAGCCCCCTTTAGCTTAACATTGTAACATAACATTGAATCTATGATACTGTACATATCATATTTATTTAACATAAAACAGGGAAACGAATGATGAATAGAAAGACTTTCTAGTAGTGTCTGCCATAGTAATCAACTTTTCCGTCGAGGTTTCTGTCAAGACCATCGGGAACGCCATCGTTGTTGAGATCATATGGAGTTCCAGCTTGGTAGTTGGGGTACACAACAACGCCACCTAAAAAGCAAATGCAGAATTAACCCTATTGCAGGCAGTCCATTTGTACATTGCAAACGCCCAAGGAACGAGGGTTACACGCTTAAACTCGTGATGTCCACCTTTTCTTTTTTTACCAAATAACTATTCTAAATTCAGAATTGTTGGACTTGAAATATATAGGTATCAGTATGACATGGAATAATGAAAGCCAAATATTATTTCAAAACTTATTCCCAGCTCGGGTTGACAATGACCATGAATCGGGGCTTCAAAAATCAAAATATTTCAAAAATCTGTATAATTTATGTATGTACAGCGCAAACCAAACTCCAGAGCAAACTAGAAACACACAACCATTTCTTAGAAATTCGTCTGGCTCTTTCGAACTATAGTAATCTTAACGGTATTCAGGGTAGAGATTAAAAGGTGGATTGGATCGAGTGGATTGGATTCATGTAAAAGGTGGATTGGATTGGGAATCTTCAAAATATGGAATTTCTTTAAGATATCTTTCTGTTGATCTCCATCAAAGCAATTTCCCTCTAAAGTATTTTTTGATCGCTTGGGTCCCTTTGAGGAATCAGAACAAAGCAACAACAAATATATACTCAAATTAGTTGATAGATACTCCCTAAGTATTTAACTGCGTTCCCTTGTAAATCAACTTTATTAAGGTATGATATAGATCTGTAGATAAAAGCTGTCATTCAAATTGATGTGTGGGTGTTCCCAAAACATTTCTCCTATGTTTAGTTTGGAATGAAATTAAAACAGATGATATCTTCAAACCAGTCTGCCTTGTGATTTATGAAATGTTTCAAATTACACTTGGAATGAATAAGATTGTGGATCGGAAGATGGGTACCAGGTCATCTTTCTAGCCCACCCAAGCAAAATAATGTTACATCTATTATTTGATATTGTGGAAGTGAGGGCAGCACCGATCTTCTTAGAGGGAGATCAATAGAATATTTTAAGTACAATCCATATTTTGAAGACTCTCAATCCAATTCACCTTTTACATGAATCAAATCCCCTCGATCCAAGCCACCTTTTAATCTTTACCGTATTCAGACTTTAACGTACATGATAAGAAATTAAAACGAACCATGTCTATATCCGTGTCTGTATCTGTATCCATGGAGTCTAGCGTATCCATAACCATAACCATAATCTGGCTTGCCATCCAAATTTCTGTCAAGTCCATCAGGTACACCGTCATTATTCAAATCATATGGGGTACCTTCAACCAATAATAGAAAACACTCAAAATTGATACAAACAAACAACTATTTTTCGATTTATATGATTTCAAAGTCATTTTTCGTTTTAGAATGCTGGCGACAGTAAAAAAGTTTATCGCAATCCCAAAATATTCAGCGAATCTGAACCTTTCTTTTGGCCGTGCGGAAAGTTTAAAACAAGTTCGAATTTTTGTAGCATGTTCCACGTCATCACATGATCTCGTCCGAACATATCCAAAAAGTTGCAACTAAATGTACTCTCAATCCGTTCGCACAGTTTAAGGCGATTCGGCAACATTTTCAATCACGTCGTGAGACTGTAATGTAGGAAGGAGATACAGTATGCATATACAATCGGCAAATTCGATGGTTGGAATTTGAACTGCATTTCTAAAAGGCATATAGTTTCATGGGCATCTATTAAAAGCTCATGAAAGTATCAAGTCCAATTTGTAAATAGACTTCGATGCCACCCGACGAATAGTGTTAATAACCGTCTTACCTGCTTGATAGTTTGGATATGGTTGGACTGGATGTGCAGTGGTAACTGCAACCATCCCAACTAACAATGCGATCAATGCTGCCCTCATCATGACGAACTGCAAAAGCACAAATGATCAGTGCATGCTTTGTCTAATGGATTCATTTTTTAAACAGTGGTACAAATGTCGTTTTTACAACTGGACCCTGTCGTATTTTATTCAAAACACGCGTATAGGAAGACCTAACATGTATCACATACATTTATAATCAATTTTTTTCAAGTAAATCCAAAGCCCAAATTGTATGAACTGTTTTGGCCATTTTACAAATGGAGGCCAGAAGTTTTTAAAATCGGTAGTGCGTCAATTGAAGCTTCCTAAGAAACTTTTAATTGATCATTTACCTACAGTAGCAGTGACACCAACTCTACATTTGGTTCCATATGTTTACTCTATAAAGTACTGTTAAAGGTGTACATACCTGTATTGTCAATTCTTAATTAGTGAATATGTAGAGTCTTTGCAGTTAGGACTTTTTATACATTGTCTTACTTTGAGACAGTATGGCACCAGGTGACATATGTTAATTAATGGATGTTACCTCATACTTAATTAATGTCTATGTAACATTTTGGTGGTAAACAGGGAGGGGAGTACATATCGGGAATGATAATTATCCAATGTATAAACTGGTAAAACCATATGTTTGATCTTCTTCATTTTTGAAATGCATCCGATCACTAAGGATTTGTATAATCAATCAATATTCTTCATTTGGTATTGAACTAATCAGTGGCGTAGCGTGGCAATTTTACTAGGGGACGCAAAATTCCAAAATTGGGATGGGGGGGGGGGGGGGTTACCCGATACGCATTCATTTCCACTTGAAATTTACTCATAAGTACTCATTATAAGTCTTGTAGAAATTCAAGCAAAAATATTTAATGTATCGTTAAGAATGAATGGAGATATCTAGCTAATTTATTTAGGATCCAGGAAGTGCAATTTACGTTATCAAACATGCAATTGTTCAAAGACTGTTCAAAGATACGAAATGATAAGGTTGAACAATGGCTTTGCTTATTAAAACTTGAGAAATTTAGAATTTCCAAATATTCAGATAAACATTGGATTGTTCCAGTGGACGCATTTGCGTACTTTGCGTAAACGACGCTACGCCACTGCTAATACTATGGAGTAAGGTCGATCAGGTTCAGAGATTTTCAACTTGGTGCCTTTTTGATACTAGCATAGTCGGCTAAAGTGTTTGACGTTTTTGAAAAATATTCCGAATATATTTCAAACGTTTATCAAATCGAATGTTATATTAACAAATGGATTTTGAGCTATTTATGTTTACCCTACAGCTAGCAACACAACACAAGACTGCTTTTTATGTACTTATTAATTCTTTTTGAAACTACAAAAACTACTTTGAATACGATACATGCAATAAACACTAATTGCTTTTCTTATTACAATAGCAACATTTATAAAATGTTTAAATAGAAAAAATATTTTTCAACAAAACCCTGATTGTCCTATAAGTTACTGCAAAACATGCTCTATATACGTTTAAAGTATGATCTGTAAAATGAAGCCCTCTGATTGGTCAGTTCTTGCTACTGAGATTGTCCCCGTTGATCATCTCCGTCGCAATACAGAAAATATTGGTTCGGAGTAGTCATAAAACTCCGACCGTCGTATGCTGTTATTTATTGTTATTTTTTCTTATTTGGATTTTTTTTATTGCAAACGATGGTCGTAAACACTAGATGGTTCTATATTGCGGGAAATGCTTTCCAGCCCTGTCTACTCAACCAAATTCACACAAATGATAAATGCATTTCTTTGCTTCAACTATACATTGTCAAGTATTTAATCTTACCCGGGCACGTAAAACCTTGGTAATTGAAGAAATATATAAGCATGCTGCTTGAATTTTAGAATTTCTCATTTTGCATACCAAGGTCACTTCCGGGTTAATCTGATAGTCTAGATGTAAAACTATATCAAAACGAAATCTAAGTATTTGTTACACAAAGATTCAAATGGAAGAAAAGCAGTGAGTAGTATGAAAGAACAGCTTTTGAATATCTGTGTAATAAATAATTATGATTCCGTTTCGATCCATGTTTACATTTAGGCTCCCAGAAACAACATTAGGTGTCACTACGGTAATTCATTGAAAAATATTGAAAAAATTAACAAAATTCAAGTTCCTGGGGTACAGATCGCCATTTTCTAACGAAGTAGCCCATATAATGACTATATTTCTACGTTCCCCTATACATAACCCTCATCTTGACACTATATTTAATAGAGAGTTTGCGTCTCGATTTTTAAGTATCACTACAAACGTAGGGACTCATTTTTAGGTAAAATTCCTGCTTCACCGATGAAAATTAACGAATAAAATAGTTCCAGTTTGTGGGACTATATTCTTGCAATCTTTTTCTAAGAATGGTGCATTTAGAACTTCTTGCCCTCAGCTTTATATACATATACCTCAAATGGCCACAGTACATGCACTTAAACCTACTATACACGCTATTGAAGTTGGCATGGCTTCGTTTTTAAAGTATTACCTATTACCCGGAAGTGGTATTTACCACCATAGTGACGTGCGATAATGAAAATATATTTCAATTGATTATATTTCGTCAATTATCAAGCGTCTTACAAGTCCAAGGTAAGATTTAACATTTTGATGTTGGAGCAAAATAATAAATCGATAATTTGTGTGACTGGTTGGTATGGATACCCAGACAGACCAACGAAGCGTTTCCCGCAATTTGTTACCTGTTACAACGTATATCTACGACCGTATATGCAAATGATAAAAAATAAATATCCCAACAAGGAACATCGAAGAACAGCATACAACGGTCGGATTTATATGGCAAGTACGGAGGGGACAATCTCAGTAGCAATAAAGGATCACACGATAAAAAAGTTATTGAATGATTTGAAGTGCAATACAGGGTATATTCTGTCTCGATATATATCTCAAATATGTTCGAGTGTGGGATACATATATTTACTTATTTTGAAATTAGGATTTTCAAAATATCCAGTTATTTTAGGCTTATCATATGTCAGCATATGTTAGCATACGTTACAGACATTTTTACGACGAGTGTTTGTTTGACACATTACTTGTGAAACTCCTTGAGTGTACGTTCTCTTGTCCTCGTGTGTAACACTTTCTGGTCTTCGGCACTTGTGCATGTAAAAATATGACCAAACTTGAAAATTCATTAACTGGCATGGGTTACTTTTCCATAGAATCTCGTAAAGTATGCCACTTTTATATTGGAATATTTAATGATCCGTATAGTGTTATCGAAATGTCTTAATTCATACGGAGTAAGCTGCCACCCACCCAATGTCTTATATCATCTTAGACATTCCGTACCATTTCTGAAAAGCAAAATATTATACAATAGTTGCTTTTTCTAGTGGGACCATATAAAACGCCACGTATTGCAAAGGCAAGATAAAATTATTTCTAGGCCTGTACGTCAAAAACAGTCACGTGAACGTGGAATTTATTGCCATGTGACTGTATATGGCATGAATAGTGAACTGTCATAGGCTACATAAGGTCACGTGACCATGGATAATGAACAATGAATATATAAGGTGTTCCCTACCCTTATACCAAATGCACACCATGCACAACAGCACCCATCTGCATCTTCAAAAATATGATAGCCTTGTCTTTGGTAAAGGGATACAGCGCGGTTATTTTGAGCCACATAGAGGGTCATTTTCTAAAATATTATAAAATACAAGTAATCAATTAGTAATTAATTGTCCCTACACTAACCGAAAAATGTATATTATTGGCATTTCATCCAAAGTGGAACATTTGTCAGAAATTCCAAAGATGTTCCACTTGTAAATCTTTACGTGTTCGTCTTCGTCCATAGTATGTTATTTACATTCACTTACTGAGCATCCCATTGCTTTTGCCTCGTGTTCAGCTCGATCCATTAGAATGTTGCCAATCCCTTTGCCCCTGTGCTCCTTGTCGACACATATGCAATCTATGTAACAATCCGCTGGATCTATATCGGTCGACTCCATACACATCAAAAGCATTCTGAATGGGAATATACATATTCACAGAACAAATAGTTCCTAATTTCATATACATTTGAAAATAATAACTATATCTTTGAATATTTCAGACAAATTAACCCCACACTTCTTGACAGAGTCGACCATATAAATCACATATCGTATATTGATTTTTGCCGTTGTATAAGCTTATATATATCTCCCTGACTATGCGTGATTACAGACCGATTAGAGACCTCGTGTACATGCCTTCGGCCAATTCAACATACAGTACTGTTTAAATTATCACAGGTTATGATATTTTCTCTCAGATACTTTTGTAACTTTCATTCAACTTACGTGTACCCACATGCGCCACTGCATCCGAGTCTCTCACGAAAGTAACACGTAGATGAACCCTGTGCCCTGAAAAAATATTTCCTCTTTTTTAGAACTTGTTTAGGATTTCGATCACGGGCAACCAGCAACAATCAGTCAGTCAACAAAGCCAGTAATTATAAATGTAATTAAACGCATCCAGATAGCCACCAAGAAATGCAGTAATTGTATACACCTTGAGAGCTAATAATTGATGACACCAAGAAAGCCACTTTTTGGGACCTCCTAGAAATCCAGTAAAATCAGCCAGTAATAAGGCATCAAGATATACTGCAGTAAAAGAAACAACTCAAGAATCCAGTAAAAGTAACCACCCAAAAATTCAGTAATAAAGCTAACCAGAAATCCAGTTATAAGCCATCGAGAAATATTCCAGTGGAAGAAACAACTCAAGAATCCAGTAAAAGTAACCACCCAAAAATTCAGTAATAAAGCTAACCAGAAATCAAGTTGTAAGCCATCAAGAAATACTGCAGTAGAAGAAACAACTCAATAATATAGTAAAAGTAACCACCCAAAAATTCAGTAATAAAGCTAACCAGAAATCAAGTTATAAGCCATCAAGAAATACTGCAGTAGAAGAAACAACTCAATAATCTAGTAAAAGTAACCACCCAAAAATTCAATAATAAAGCTATCCAGAAATCCAGTTATAAGCCATCAATTCAAGAAATACTGCAGTAGAAGAAACAACTCAAGAATGCCAGTAAAAGTAACCAACCAGAAATGCAGTAATTAAGCCACCCAGAAATACATTAAAAGAATCAACCCAGAAATGCGTTATTCAAACATTTCCAGAAAGCCAGTAAATAATTAAAGTGACATCATGATAAACCATGACATCTCATTTCTTCTCAGCCCTGAGATTCAAGTGAAACAGAAAGATGCTATGAGTATCAGAATGAGTAAGTGATTACACAAGAAACCCAGTCCCCCGAAATCCAGTCATATGACAACTCACTTGTATCCATGGAACTTTATGATGAGCATTCCAGCTCGATTGTTTTTATATTCAGCAATGAAGACCCTGCAGTTTTTATCACATATTTCTCGATACCTATTCTGTCGTATTGTGGCTAATTCCTCAACTCTGGAAAAACAAGGCACAGCGTCGTGTTTCAGTTAAACAGCACGGGAATTGTAAGAATTTTGGTAAATACTTTTGTTTTATCAGATATTTTGAGTGTTTGGGTTCCTCATAAAAATCGACCATGCTTCGCAGATTTGCCCCTGTTATTAAGTTAAGAATGTAAAGATTTCACGTTTTACCTGTTCTTTCCCACCGCCCATTCATATTTAGATCTAAACGATTCCATTTCCAATCTACCGACAAATTCGGCATCACCCTCTTCTATAGCCCTTACAACAACATCTGAAACAACATTAGACAATGTCGTCCCTGTGGTACACTCGTGTTCGGGTGAATCATTAGGAGTCCCAACTATAATATCACCTGGTGTGTTTGAAATGCGTCCACCCTGTTCATTATGTCCAAGTGGTTGAGTGACAATAGCATTACTGGAATCTAAGTTTGCCATCGTTCCCTGAAATGAAATGCCAACACGCTATTTTATAGCCTATAAAAGCACCCCCGTAAAGGCCAAAACGTTTCTCAGCATCCTTTGGCTAAAGTGGTCGTTTTGGAAATCCAAGATCAGATATCAACTCCCGGAAAGTTAATTTTTCATAGAAGATTTGTTAAAAAAATATTTGAAAAACTTCATGATAATAACTTATGCGTAACCTCTTTGATAACCGTGATTTGTCTTTTTTCTGGATACCCTGATTTCAATTAGAATCCACGTAAATGATCGGAAAAATAAATTGTGACATTTTTAGTGATTTTAGATTACATTTTTCATGAAAGCTTGTACTACTTTATTAAGATCATTTATTTTGACCATTTTCACAACAAAGATAATATTCTTAACCTAAATGTAATTCCAAATGTCAATTAGTGGAGTTCAAATCATAATTATCCAAGTTATCTATCAGTTCATATTTATATACAACTTCAGCTGACCAATGCTATAGTACAGTAGTACTTTAGATTATTGATTCAGACTTTAGGCTGCTGAGTAGTTAATGTTATTTTAACATATAATATACAGTGTGTCCCATAAAAAACGCAACAAACAAAAACATTGTAAAATCACAAAACCAGTGATGATAACATCAATTTGATTTAGTTTACCAGGAAGCCACATGTCTCCTCTTTCCAATGGTATGTCAGTTATTCATATAAAACCATGGACCACTGAATAATCATTCCTTTTGCACAACGTGCCAAAATCTGCTCTGGGCCAAGTTTTAGACATTGCAACAAAGAGTCACCAATGAGGTTGCTGCCCTCCGCCAGAACCCCAGATGATTCAAAGAGGTGTGCGACATGGACACAAAGGCCAGTCTCAGTGTTAAATAGTGGTCATGCGAAAGGGCATGGAATGTAATCTTTCATAAGTAATCTTTCATAAGATGACAGACAACGACTGTCTATGCCACTTTTTTTCCATATGTCTTGCATTTTGTTACCTGAACCAACAAGAATACTGATGAATACTTAAAGTTAAATTTTCTTTTCATTTTTTCTTACTAAATCTAAATCAGAAACTTGTGTTATGTAAATTTTGTGACAAAAATTTAATCCCCAGTACCAATTACATCATGATTTACCTGATTATTACCTGATCATTACTTGGCACAAAGGCCTTTTCACCCATGTACGAAAAAACAATGATTTTTCAGTGGTCCATGATCAGATATGAACAAATAACATACCATTGTAAAGGGGAGACACATGGCTTCATGATAAACTAAATGAAATTGATGTAATCATCACTGGTTTTGTGATTTTACAATGTTTTTGTTTGTTGCGTTTTTTATGGGACACACTGTAGATTAATCAAATAAAACCAAGGACACAAAAGACATACGGTTATACAACTCAAAATTTTTAAAAACAACATGCCACGAGGCATTGAGAACAAGTATAAAATAAAAAGGAGGTTAAGTTTCACGTTTTAAGTTCAGGAGAACCTACGTGAAAGTGTGGGATCATATGGTCCTTTAGGGATTATTTCTCTCCTTCCCAGTTCTCACCTACACGATTGAGTATTAAGATATGCGTAAAATAGTTATACTGAAGAGTGGGGTACTAACCTCCGGTGGTCGTTATGTTACACGTTCACGTTCTTTTAAAACGTGTAGCTTAACCTCCTTGTTGTTAAAGATGCAGAACTGTGTAAATAGTACACACAGGCCGAAATGTAATCATATAATAAATAGAGGTCACCACTTCTCGACGGTGATGACATGAGAATGCTCAGTCATCGTGGCAATAACTCGCATGAACATCATATTTCAAAATAAAGTGACAGCTATAAGGTATCGTAATAATCACATACCTGCGGTTGTCCACTGTGCTCACATACTAGTCATCGTTGAACCTTAATACTCATATTTACAGATCCCGGTTACTTTGCTGAAACAACAGAATAGAATGTGGAGACTTCGGAGAAAGCTTAACTATGGTGAGAAAAAATCGATCCTCACCTAACATCTAACAACGTTATTACTGTTTAATGCAATAATTGATGAAGGTTGCACTGGACTTTGAGAAATATCCTGTGTAGCTGTTACAATAAAGCTCCAATTCCGTTAATATAAGGTAAAACATGAATGGCAAAATACAGGTTTTTACAAACCTGCTTTATGTATCTGAAATAAGTCCAAATATGGGATGAACATTGTGTACTTAATATGTTGTCGTGATCGTGAATAATATTGATAAAAAGAACGGTTTATTTGGCATCGATATTTATACTCACCCGTACATGATGAATCATGTTTTATCGTTGGCTATCCTTTATCAAAATACGGAGTGACATGAAAATAAGTTAGCTTCATGAAGTAGAAGAGTTTATTTGTCCAATTAGTTGTATCGATGATCGAATCCCTCCTCAACTCACAGGATAATGTGCACCTTCAAGTCCTTTGATAAGCACTGGACGTGGAGTATTCCAACAGGCTGCACGACTAACGACATACACAATAATACACACATAGGAATGAATTCCTAACGATTGGGTGTCTGATTTATTGATTTCGGCTTTATACATGTACATGACTGTATAAACATGGAACCTATTTATTATCGCCCTCAGATAGCAAAATATTACACTTAGTCTAATTCCCATTGGCGCATACTATTTTTTTTATCATTGCCTTCATTACAAAATGTGCAAGCATGGTCGACGTACTGTAATGGAGTAAACTCCAGAATTCAAAGGCAAGGGGCTATCTCTATGTAAAGACAAAATATTTTCTTTTACTGGACATATTTTCAGATGTACAATTAAATGAAAATTTATCCAATAAACTAATGAATATTGAAGTTTAGGGTGAAACGCAATACTCGTATATCTGCAATGTTATTTGACCGACTACTAGCTCTTTGGTCTCACCTTACGTAAGACACACGTAAAAATACATTTTTGGTAAATACAAATGTATCTATCGATATACCATATACTAGACTAGATACTAGACTAAGTATAGTACTAAGAAGGGAAGTACGGTTAAATAAGACTTAGGACATAAGCATTTGTTTATTTTGCTCGTGAATGCTAGCTTTTCCTTATGATACATAGATATATATCAATTATCAATTGAATATTTGTGTTGATCTGTCCAGTTTTACCTCCTCTGCACAAGGCTTATTATCTTATGATGGTTGTCCACCAATATCTAAATAAAAAGATTTGTGTAATTAGCCTAAACGTACGCATACATTTTTGACTTTTTGTGCACTGCTCTATTTGCCATCACTTGCAAGTTGCCACTCATCAATCATTCTGATACTCATAGCATCTTTCTGTTTCACCCGAAACATGCTCTGATATTATGAGGCATATTCTGTGATCTGAGCCCATCAGATGGGAAGAGTTATAACTGTCAATAAGTGTGATAGTTATCATGTAATCATTTACCTAATGTCAATACATTACATAATAGGCATTGTATTTAACAGCAGATATTAGCACAGGTATGCGTACACAAGTTTAATGACCCCAATTAAATGAAATATGAGCTGGGATGAAAGATCTCAAAAATCCTCAATTTTGGGCTCCCCTGGATCGCCAAATCAAGCTCATTATATCATGGCATCTCAGGGCTGAGAAGAAATGAGATGTCATGGTAAATCATGATGCTCATCAATAACGTTCGCCATTGAAATGATTAGTTATATTCCGTAGTAATTTCAACAAACCCAGTGCCACGGAACGGATCACTTGAATTGCGTATTTATGCATATTCTTTCAAGAAACTATTCACTAATAGATAAACGTACGACAAAATAACATTAGGGAGGTCAAGATAGCGTGAATTGCCCATTTAATTACCAAAACGTAGTTTGTTATTGTAGTAAGCGGTATATTCTGATACTTATAGCATCTTCCTGTTTCACCTGAAACATGATCTCAGGGCTGAGAAGAAATGAGATGTCATGGTTTATCATGATGTAAGCGGTATATTACCTAAGTTACAGGATTTGCGATGCGTGATTACCTATAAATGGCCGAAAATAGGTAATTCGAAAACATATCTTTTTATCCAACAATCATTTGTAGATCAAATATCATTCATTAACTTTAAAATAGTGACAACAAACAGTTAATTCGATCTGCATAGAAATCAAGTGGTCGAACACAACCATTAATTGATGCACTAAACGATGCCATGTGATGATGCATAAAATTGTTGAATCTACACATTCTTCATCAATTTTGCTTATTGCAAATATATGAAATTAGTTATTTCCTCGTTGTTTTAATTGATTAATTTTACTATTTTGTCACTATAATTGCTGGATCATGCTAGAAATTTAACATTTTGCCTTAAGTCACTGCCCCATTAGCAACACCCCTTCCCCCATAAAACATGCCATAAAAGCCACCGCATGGTTTTTATCCTATAATCAGAATGTCATTAAAGGGACCGATTTAAATGTTAGGTATATTCTTATATATCAATATTGTCTTATAAAGTTCCAAAATTCAAAAATACGCATTTTCTTAATCTAAACATTCTTCATCAATCTTAACCTCCCTATTATATTGATAATGATAATAACGTTTTAGTTACTGAATAATTCGACTATATTCGTACCAGGTCTTGAAACTGGATCCCTGCAAACATGACCACAGCCATTGGAGCAACATTTCTGTTTTTCAGGACATTCGTCATCCGCGGAACACATCTGTACACACATACCCGATGTTCCAGGTGGTACCTTTGGGCAAATACCTGTATGTTGATGTGATAAATGATTAAAATGTAAGCATAATCGAAGTGGTTCAGATATACCGTATTAAAGTTCCAAATAATGTAGCTTAGGGTCATCGAAGTTATTCTGAGATAACACTACAATCAATGATGTAGGTATTGGTATTATATCATATTATGTAGATACAGGGTGAGCCAAAAAGGTAAACAAGGGAATTCTTAACCTCTTGAATCCAAGGCTCTAAAATTGGCATGAAACCAGAGAATTTTTCATTTTTTGCCACCTTTTGACATTTTATTACATACCTATACAACTTTAGATGCTCAGCTTAGTAAGATTGGACGGCAGAGATCATTTCTACACGTTTTAAAACAATTTTTGTGTGAATTGGATGAAAATTGTTCAAATGAGAGCAATTTTTGTGAAAAATTTTGTGACGGATTTTCTCGTCCCTCTGGGCACCAGTCTTATTTCATTTGTCCGTCACTCTGGGTATTCAAGAGGTTAATAACTCAGTTATCATCTATTGGTTTGAAATAATATTTGGCATAATTAGACCTTGCTCGACGTTCTTTCATTCAACCAAGTTTCATCGGCACTTAATGGTCACGATTTTACGGCCATTCTACAAAACATGCTCAAAATGCCAGTCTTGTCTCTGGAGGCAAAGTTGAACGCACGGGTTGAAGTTTTCTGACTACACGCTCACATATATCTCACTTTCCGTCTAATCTCTAGTTTCAATTCACTGATGCGTTTAGATTGTTAATATACATACACAAATACATATACATGTACCTTATCTTTTAAAGAGCCACAACGATAAAATTCTGGAGTTTCATATATATCGAGTAGTTTTGGCATTTGGAGCATGTTTTGTAAAATGGCCATAAAATCCTGACTATTGAAAATGTTGAAAAATGGAACTTAGTAAAGTGAAAGATCATCGTACATTACCAAATATGTTTGGATTACCTTTTTAGATCATCCTGCATTTGCTCTGTTTAAGTTACTAAGATGTACAGCATACAAACGATGAATGTGTTGGCATCGAAGTGGTTTTGATAAATTATATTACAAAGTTTGTAGATATTAGCTCTATCGAAGTTATCAGACATATGTAACATATAACAAATGTTAGTGGTAGGTATTAGTACAATCGAAGGTATGCGGATATAACACATTGAAAATCAACATGATATGTTACTAGTATTCGCAATTACTGTCCAATAATCTTAAAAACGTTATTGTTACTTTAGCTGGAATACTCGAACTAATAAATTGAACAGTAAAACTGACTTGTAATATACCTGTACATTTTTTCTTCGTACATTCCACAAACCGATTTTCTAAACACGTACAATTATTACAATCGTCTTTGAATGTATCACCGACATTGTAAGTTTTGCCATCGTGGATGCACGCTATGAATACAGAATATTTATTTTATACTTTTATAATAACTTTGATTTATATATTGACCTACTGTATTTAGGAAAAGTGAGATGGAAAAATAATGATATGTTTGTTATAGTACACTATAGCTTAACTCTGGTTTTACCATTCCCAAGTTTGAAAAATAAATTGCGTTCAAATGGTCATAAATAAATTGATTCTAAAGAAGTGAAAGCACATATCTTTCAATAGTTCAAAATTGGCCAGACTGATGTCATATTTAAAATTCTACATTCTAAATTACACGCAGTTTAAATAATTGTCCAACTTTTCCCTTTATAGGTGTGATTCCTAGATTGGTTAGCTATAGAACTGGATAGCGCCTAGATCATAAAACAACGAACGGTTAACTAATTATTTGTTGTATTGAACAAAATATGTTAGGTATTAGGGGGTTGTTTTCCTAAGGATTTGTTGCATTAATTAGATGTTTCATTTTCTTGATCTCATTAGTATTTGAATCGTTTTTTACCATTGACTCTTGTGAAAACACTTATTTTTAAAAAAATATTGGTTTAGAGTTTTAGCGTTCCAAGCTTAGTTCTCAACAATCATAAATAAGTGAGTTTTATTTAGAGAGTGCACATCAAAATATTAGAGTTCCAGTAGATATGCAAGCACAATTAATTACTCACTACATGGAACAGGCGTTGCACAGCAAACTCCTTCCGGTCGTTCATAACACGGACCTGGATTTGGACAATCTTGGATAAAGCATTGCTCAGAATAAGTCCCATTTCCCTTATTAGCACATGTACAGTGTTCACAGGGACCACTACTTGGCATCTTATCATTAGGATCGTAAAATACACCATCTTTAGAACACCCTAAAAAGTGAGGATTTGTGAATTTAATTCAACAACTATTGGAAGCTGTGAAAGGTGAATCTAACCTCTTTTCGAATTAACTCCACAGTGTTCTATTGCGGGGCTCGTATCATATAACACAACATTGGGCATGGGTAGAAAATTTAAGTTTCTATAAAATGATGTAACATTTGATCGAAACTGTTCAATTTTATAGGTGACATGGTATTAAATGATTCCACACAATACAAGGTATGGGTGATTGGATCAACAATCTGTTGAAAATATTTTGCATTATTTTCACTTAACATTCTTATAAAACATCATTCACTTACCCATTTTACAAATAGGACAACATTTTCCCGCGGGTGTATACGTAGGAATTCCTGGAAGACAATCAGGTTTGACACAAACGACACTGGAACAATCTGAAAATAAAGAAATAGAAATCATTAGTCAAGATTAAAAACGTCCTGTACGGCCTGCACATAATAAACATTGAGAGTCGTATTCAGTTACTGGACCAAGTTTTTTGTTGAATGTGGTGATTACCAGGTCCTGTAACGGGATCCATGCAGACGTGACCGCAACCATTAAAACAACACATCTGTTCCTCAGGACAGTCATCATCTTCAGAACATTCTTCAACACATATACCTGATATTCCACGTGGAAAACTTGGGCATCTGACTGTAGATACAACATAGACATGTCGTGATTTAGATACAAAAAAAAGTAAGTGATGCCGGGATAACTATGAACAAAAATAGAGGCTGACTAGATTTTGCAAAAGGTGTAAATATAACATCTTGTAAAGTAATAATAATATACCTGTACAATTCTTCTTTGTGCATAGCACTGATCGAATTTCTGAACAAGTGCATTCATTACAATCATCTTTGAATGTTTCTCCAGCTTCATATGTTTTGCCTTTGTATATACACCCTGAAATTTATATCAACATTTATAATCATTTGAAAATAACAAATTCATACCCGACTACATATTTTGTTCAATAACTGAAAAATGTTGTCCCCCATTTGTACACGTGTCATGAACAGTTTCTGGTTCTATAGATTTTTAAATGAAATGGGGATGATCATAATGGAGGTATTATAGCTATCTAAAGTTGTTATTCTGGATCAACGTTCTGTGTCTTAGTGAAACCTGTGTACATTGAACACATATTAGGCCATAACATGTGTTAACATTTGTTAGTTAGGTTTTCATAACAGAGAGGATAATTCATCCAGGAGTTAGTTGAGTATGTGACGAGGAAGGATGCCTATGAGTTCACTAGAAAAATGTGATCAGAAGTTTAACCGAACTACTTACTACGACTACATGTAAGTATACAGTAGGAACTACCTAAGACAAAGGGAACATTATACATAACTCATCTTTTTATAAGACTGCGTGGCGGTATGAAAAACTGCTCTGACTCAACACACATGTAATTGGTTTATGAGAGGTTCCATAATGGTCATAAACAAGTATGAAACTCACAACATGGAACAGGCCTTGCACAGCAAACTCCCTCTGGTCGTTCATAACACGGACCTGGATTTGGACAACCTTGGATAAAGCATTGCTCGGAATAAGTCCCATTTCCTTTATCTGCACATGTACAGTGTTCACAGGGACCACTACTTGGCATCTTATCATTAGGATCGTAAAATACACCATTTTTAGAACAGCCTAAAAGTGAGAATTGGTTAAACTAATTCAACATTTGTTGGAAGCTGTAAAAGGTGGACCTTTTTTACAAACAGCCTAAGAAAATGACGATGGCTACAAATTCGATAAAAAGAGTTGTAATAGGTGGTTCATCGATTTTACACATTTTCAAAATAGCTCTCGGAAATGACACAATGATTTTATATGCTAAAAACCTCTGAGAGGATGCAAAAGAGGTACATTATAAAACGACCTTATTGCGCTAAGAAACTCAAGGAAGATGTAGGATAAAATGGTCTTTATTATTCCGAAGAGTGTATTTTAAAAGCTCTAATACTACGCCAAATAAACTATTTGCTGTCTATATGCTCTATCCATCATGGATATTTAAATGAAAACAATTATCCATATTATGTCATTTTCGTAATTTGTATCTCAAATGTTTATGATACAAAATTCACAAACCTCTTTTGCATAAAGGACAACATTTTCCCGCGGGTGTATACGTAGGGTTTCCTGGAAGACAATCAGGTTTGACACAAACGACACTGGAACAATCTGCAAATTAGGAATAGGAAACTATTATTCAAACATTGGAATAAAAAACTGATCAAATTAGAGAATGTACGTATTGAACTAAATGAAATGCTAATTAGAAGGTTAAACTGTTGAAGAGATTTTGTACATAACTGCGCAGAATTGAGAGTGAGGCCGCAGCAATTATCAGAAAGTATTCATGATTTTAGACTTATAGTTACACAACCGTTTAGTTAGGAAGTTAAGAGTTTTTTGCCACATACCAATATTTCATACTCACGTAGAACACGGGGTCCAACCATATTAAGTGTTGAACAGTTGCACGCTTGGGGTAAGTTACAACACGAGGGAGGTGATATTTGAGCAATCTGATGTTTTAATCGTCTCAGAAAGATGTGGTCTAATTTCTAGATATTTTCAGATAAAAATATAGAAACTAGACTAAATTTATCTGAAACGATGGAAACATCAGTTTCACAGTTTGCTCAAATCTCATCACACTCGTGTTGTACTCTATCCCGTGCGTTCAACAGTCACGCGTAATTTCGTATGGCCCCCGTGAAGAAGTAATACTCTTAAAATTTGTAGCTAAACTTCCTTATGAATAACTCACCGGGTCCTGTAACTGGATCCCTACAGACGTGACCGCAACCATTAGAGCAACACTTCTGTTCCCCAGGACAGTCATCATCTTCAGAACATTCTTCAACACATATACCTGATATTCCACGTGGAACACTTGGGCATCTGCCTGTAGATATAACAATGGGGATATAGATATTTAACGAGGCGATATATAAGGTGCATTTTAAAGGGTTCCGATAAGCTTCCCGTATAAAAACAATATGGCGGCTCCAGGCGAATCAACTGGATCAGTCCATTTTTAAGAAATAAGGGGAGTTCTGTAAAATCCAGTTTATTGAAATTGTCTTTGAGATAAAGTAATCCGTTTATAATGATTTTGAAAACATTATCCAAAGAGTGATTGTGTTCAAAGAATACATGTACAACAGCCAATATAAATCCTTGTATTAGAACTGCTTTGTTTCATTGGTAGGGTATTTCATATATGGTAAGCTGTGTGCTATTACGTTATGGGGAAATTTAGATGCCAATTTTTCCTTATTATACACAAATAGAAGATCCTGAAACTACACCCATAAATGTGGAATTGATTTGTCAAAATAAAAATCACCCTTTTATAAATGTGTGACGATCTATAATATATTTATGCTATATAACAGTTAGAGGTGTTGACACAACGACCTCGAGCCTGTGAACCCTTGAGTATTATTCCGGGATCGGGCCTTTTATACTAAACGGTGAGCAACACCAGAAACGAGCGTTCGATTTGCTAAACGATATCCGTCACCCTTTAAGCCACGTAGGTATAACACAATTGTGACTTTTGTGACTTTTACAAGTTTTTGTATGGCTTTAACAGGGAGTTGAAGCTTGCACATAAAATTCAAATACCAATGCATCGCTTAAATATTTTCCGTTCCCGTTTAGGTTGTAAAAAATTGCAAGATTAAACTCCCTATTTTTAAGAAAAAGTCTGCAGATTCAGTCCAAATAATGTTCCAGGTATGTCAGCCTGTCAGCCAGATAGGCGACGGAATTGCAGGAAATATGAAATTCTCTACCACCTCGACTGCATTATCTTCGAGGCTATCCATAATATATTATCAAACAGTCATTTAAGATTCGATCGCGGGTGCAAATATGCGTTCGTCGTCTCACATGAGTACCGAAAATATTTCATACTGAAGCATTGCTAGATTTGATGTAGTCTTCCATTTGGTCGATGACATTTATTTATGGAGAGTACCATTTCTAATTTTGGATATGTATTTACTCATTAAGATTTTCTTTGTCTCAAGAATTGGCTCATGAAATGCAGCTTCTAAACGTTTCAAGTCATGCTTCCACGAGGGGAACCCAAACTATGGCCTTTGCTCCAGGTAAGTAAAATGAGATAAATAGTTGTGAGGATTACAAGAAAATGAAAGCTATACACGTTACCTTTACATTTCATTCGAGTGCATGTTACTGACCCATTTACCAAGCAAGTGCATGTATTACAATCATTCTTGAACGTATCACTGGCATTGTATGCTGTTCCATTATAGACACATCCTTGATAATACAGTTATGATAATCACCCAATATTACAGATTTATCAACATTCGATTGTAGAGAATATATTAACAAGAAATTGTTGAAATGTAATACAGGGTCAGGGAATATACAGGGTTGCAATTCACAACCTGGCACTATTTGATATATTGTTGGTTGTCATAGAACTACTGAATAATTCTACTAAATTAAAAAATAGTACTCCTTACCAGAGCTTTGCTCTGGACACTCGTAACAACATTGGCCAGGTGACTTGAACGGAACACTTTCATCAGGACATTTGGCAGGTGGTATCGGACACAGCACTGAACTACAGTCTAATAAAATACACGGATTTTAGTACCAATTATGGTACGAATATATAAATATATTCATATTGGCAGAATCAAAAACACAATGTTACAATTTGTTAGCAGATAGTGGGTTTGGCTACAAAGTAATAGGCAGGAGTGAAAATATTAGGTAATGGTATGACTGATGGGTAATCTGAATAATAAAGATCTCGTGGCATAATCAATGGTTGTTATATTTATCATAATACCGGTTGGTTTGTGGACGTTACCATCCGGACATGCCGGCAACGGACAATCCTGAACTACACATTTTTCACGATATGTTCCATCATTTTCCTTCAAGCCGTACATGCAACTTTTGCATGGATCATCATTTGGAATAACATCATTTGATTTATAAAATTCTCCGTTCTTAGTACAATTATCAATACAATGACCCATCGACATGAAGAGTCCATATACTTTCAGACCATTAAAAAGTTGGCCATTATGTTTTCACTGATTCTACAGGGCTCAATCATGTTTGTAACTTTCACCATAAAACCCAGTCAACTTCATAGAACAACTTGCCTTCAGTGACTTTATTTCACGAATCCATGGTTGTGAAACTACTTACGTTCTTTCACAATTGACATCTCGCGGACTCTTGAAGTCTTCTCAAGGACAAATGTCAAAATATTAATATACAATGTAGTGGTGCGTTGCATGAATGTATTATGGAAATAGAAATATGTTCACCTAGGAATATTTCAACCCTAAAGGAATGGTCTGGTACAGGTAGTAGTAGATATGGTATCTTACAAACGTTGGCATACCTTGGCAATTTCGTTTTGCACACACCACTGTTAGATCGGCCATACATGCACATACATTACAGCCATCTCTGAATATTTCACTCACATTGTACAGTTTCCCATTGTAAAGACACACTTAGAAAAATAAATAAATCTTAAATCAGTTTATTAGCCTCGCAATAATACCATAGATGTTAGTATGATTAACATCTAAGCAATATATCTGTAACATCTGCATTTTAAGTTTATGCAATTTCAAGATTCCTTCTTCATATTTTAAGGAATGTCCTAAACAATCCCATCAGCTTCTACATGCTTTACGTATGTAAATTACTGTTATTGGTCCTTAGAGGTGTCAATGGGGAGGATGAGAGTACTGCATGAGAGTAAATTTTCATTAACAATGCTTTGGTGTTACAGACCGGAATACTGCATCAAAAATCAAGGGCCGTGACATCGGAAAAACTGCGCCTATACATTATTTTGAATGTTCAGATGAACACCTCTCAGAAAAGGACCTATTACTATAGAATACCGCGAGTTATGATAAAACATCCATACTAGGTTTTGGGCACCGTGGACAGCAATCGCCCAGTTCTATAACTGGCTTCCTTCCATCTTTGCATTCGACTTCAGGACACAATTTCCGATGACAATCTAAAAATAATGAAGATTCGCTGCCCAAATTAGTCATTTTTGAGATAATTCTGAATTGCAGTCCCCAGAGTTCCCCATGTCAGGGTCAACAATTTGGTGTTCTCAATAATTAAACAGGTATATGTAAGGTGCAGTATTTCTAAAATAAAAATATTTCAAATCAGCATGTTGGATGATCTGTCACTTTAATCATATTTGTTTCAATGACGGGAAAAATCAATGACTTTTTTAACTTCGTTCTTTAAGAAGTAATAAACAACTGTTAATTTTAAGTCAAAGGGACTTAAGTAAAGACATTCACAGAGTACATAGTCTATGTGCTGCTAATAACAATAGAGGGTTTTATTACCTCATTTAAGATTTACCTTTCTCTTAGATTTATAATATACCTTGACAATTTGTGCACACCACTGTTTCGTTTACAATACACGTGCATTGATCACAATCGTCGTTGTATGTTTCACTAACATTGTGTATTTGGCCATTGTGGACACATACTTCTATTGCAAAAAACGAATATGTGCAATATCTTGCAATTGTGACAAGCGTTACAGCACTTTATACAATTTGCCCTACTTCGATGACAATATTATCAGCAGGAGAATAGAAAATGACTGGGGGAACCATTGCCCGGATAGGTCCCCCTGTCTAACCCAAAGTGAATAACTTAAAGACAATAGCACAACTCAAAAGGGAGACTAGGCGTTTTATTCAGGCCACACCTGCTGAGGAATGCAGTGCCGTCATTGACAATTCCGGGTGACATGTACAGTTTGCCTACAGATGAGGATAACGCAAGGTTGCAGTTTTTCCACCCTGTTTGATTGGGGCGAATATATTTAGTTTTTTACATCTACTACTTAGCTTTCCCTTGTGCAGTTCAATAGATTCAGTTCTTGTAGTATTACCTAATGCTGACGATGGACATTCATAACAACATTGACCGGGTTGTTTGGTGGGGAAGCTTCCGTCCTGGCAAATAGCTGGTGGCCTCGGGCAATGAACTTTCCAACAGCCTAACAATAAATGTCATATGATTAAAATAGTAAGCATACTAAAATTTGCTGTGAATGTTAATATTTGCTACGAAGCAATTGTGAAATTGGTTCTTTAACTGTGAGAAGTAGGTTCTTCTGGCAGTTTTGGGCTTAATTTTAGAGGGATATGGGGCATCTAACTACCGAGTATTTATCTTTGTTAATGAGTGTTTATTAAACTGCTATCTTCAATGGCATTTTAGCATTAATATGAAATATTTGAATTTTTGCAGGAATAGGATTCAAGGACAAACCTTTAAAATTTCGACAAACAGGGCAACATTTTCCTCGGAGACGAACTGGCTTTTTTCCCTTTTCACATTTTCCAGGAACTGCGCAAACCAATTGTCTGCAATCTGATAAAGTGGCTGACAATAAGATTTCTTAATACCCATTCATTACCAAGGTAAACTTGTTCCAGACTAAATATTTTAAATAAAATATATCTAGTGGTAAGACATATACTTTGAAACCAAAACTGTTCATCTTTCCTGAAATTTTGAGCTTTTCAATTATTGTAAGTTAATACTATTGTCGATCTATTAAGGATACTCATTGGCCAAGTATATGATAATCTGTTTATTTAACATTTTACGTCTCTGTTCACTCATAAATGGAAATAGGTACATGTTTTCTCAGGACGTCTGAATTTCGAGGATATTTTTTTTATATCCCGATAGTCTCTTTTGCAAAAGAGCTATATTCTATGTATACTTATTATATACCTAGACGTATTTTTCGCAATTTTCTATTTTTTTTTACTTTTTCCGTATCGGCCTGATATCATTATCTGCCAACTCAGCAGAGACGTAATGTTTATCCTGCCTGCTATTGATTATAACAATGCTTGACAAACCTGATTTATATACTCTTTTCCCAAACAAGTCCAAATTTGGGATAAACAAATCATTTAATATTAAGCCTACCCTGGCTACACCTTGAGCAGCATGTATCTGGCGCTCTAAAGTAACCACCAGGACAATTGAGTGTAGGACATGACTTGTTCGCACAATCCCCTGAAATAAAAGTTGGCGAACTAAATTTTATATTGAGGAGATTGCTCCAAACCTTCCAGGATTGGGTTGACATTTTGATTACCCCTTTTTATCTCTTTTTAGATATGTTTACCAATAAAGACTAGATCCCGAGTTTCAAAATATGTCATAAATATATGTTTTAGTAGTGAACGCTATCGTTACGTAATATCACAATACCAAGGACAGGTTTTGATAAAAAAATAATGTGGAAATGATGCCTCTTTATGCCTAAAAGACCTGTTTGAACGTTACATTTAAACCTGAAGTCAATTTGAATTCTTAGTATAAAAATTGTAGATATTTACTTTTCAATAGTATGCATGTATTTTGGGAAATTTCACTATTCTAAACACTTACTTATTGTCTCTGAACAGGCTGGGCAGCATGCCCCAAGAGGAACAAACTTTGTTCTACCTTCGGGGCATTCCTTTGGTGAGTTCCAGCAAGGATCTTGTATGAATTGTATGGGGCGACACACTTCGACGACCCCACCTGTGCTAGTAGGCTCACATTTGCAACTTGTGAAACACTTAGTGCTGGAACTATATGTTGTGTTCACTGGATGAAATGTGCCATCTGACTCTGTGCATCCTGAAGCATATGTTAGTGTATTTTTATTTTGATATATTATTTGTATAGGGTATTGGTTATGTCGAGTTTAATTTAGCACTTGAGACTATTTGAGATTCTGTAAACGGATCAGCAACTAAAATGCTACAATAAATTTTGATTAAATATTATATTTTCTTAAAGTAAACATAAAATCAAATTTTAACTTTCAACATCGAAAAATATTCGAAAGCGTATCACACATACTTTAATGGGTAAAATTACAGTGTGTGAGTTTACACATTTCTAAAATGTCATTGTTCATTGGGTTTGATGTACTGAATCAAAAAAATTACCCTTCATGCATGCCTTACAGCACATTTCATGTCGTTTTACAACTGTCTCATTCGGTAAGCATCTAGGCAATGGGCACCACTTTCTTTTACAAAACACTCGTCCATTGTATTTACATTTACAGGTTTTACATTTCTCTTTCAGCATCTGTCCAGGTTTGTAAAATTTTCCACGGTAGATGCATCTACTATAATTTAAGTTTTGTAATGCAGAGTAGATGAAATCAAGTACATGGTAATTTTAATTTGTGATTTTGAACAAATTGATTACTTTAATAGCCCAATAGAATATTATACTGTATATATTAATTCCCATTTCAGCAAGATAACCATGGAATCAAGGGATTATCTTGAATATTAATTAGAATTGTCAGACTTGTCAAAAAATACTCATGATATGTATGCGCCATATCCAATGCGAAAGTACCTATAATGATTACAAAAAACAACAAGGAAATCGTTCAACAACCTACAATTATCACAAATCCAATGCAACGTGAAAAGAAACAGTGCAAATAGTTCCAATATCAAAATCCCAGACGGAAACAACAAGGTACGTTACATTCATACTGAATGCTTTCCAATTACAATAAAATAACGAATTTAAAGTTGCAGTCGAATACTCAAAGCATCAAAAATAGTTGTACATGTTAGCATTTCATATAATATTGGACAGACAATAACCAATCTTTAAGAATCTATTTTTGCAAGTCAGTACAGTGTACGCAAGCTAGCAATTACAAGTACACCATTACAATCAAACTTACCGCCATGGTCCCTTTGCTGCAACTATGCAAGACAGCATTAAAATTATAAGAATAAAAAATAAGCTCCTCATTTTGGTTTCAAATTAAGGATGGATGATCATGTCATGTTTGTAGTAATCCTACACTATAAAATTTGTTTTAGTATATAATTCATACAGTTTATATATTTTATTTGTTTGAATGTAAGCGAAATAGCAATTCAGTGTTATCAAGTACTCACATTGCTTTGTCATCTCTAACATCATAGCGAGTTTAATGTGTTTCGCGATGAATATGAATCCTATATACATGTACATTAAAATAACAATTAATCAAAACACGCTGCAATACTTGTAAAAGCCATGAGCATAAGCACATACACGTATAACAGTTACCTATGACACTAGGATATGTTATCATCTGAAATAAGATAAACATGCATCTATTAAAGATGCATACTCGTAATTAAACTGTTTCACTCAATTTAGAATATATCTACGATGTCACAACCACACGACTTCAAAATCCTCTGAAATAACAACCTTTTAAAGAAATGTTCTGTTAGCATCAAGAGTTGTTCTGTTAGATAACTTTAAGCTGATTAGAGATTTTGACTCTAATTTGAACACATCTGTAGTATTTGTTATCAAGTACAGTCATTAAGAAAGTTGCAGATAAATAATATCCAATTACTAAAACAATTTACTTGATCAGAGAAAATATAATTTTAAAATCATAAATACGACAATGAATATGATAATTGTCACATCACATTAATGCAACAATTGTGTTAACTAAGTCAATTTTACTTAATACATAATATATAATGATTTTAAATTAGTTATTCTAGTATTTACAACTATTTATCGACAACAGAGTGTTATTGTTTTGTAATGATTTAAGTGTAATTAAACATTCCATAGCAGTATGTTTTAAGAAATTATAATGATTTCTATCAGAAATAAAAATTTCAATAGTGTAAACATCCTACATAACACGTTTCTCTGGCTGTATATATAGAGTCAACCTTGAAATGTACATACAGCATGACTACTATCATTGTAAAGATGATTGTTGATTTGAATTTCATCCTGAATTAAATGTGTAATTTTTCACATACATCCCTAGTGTCCGGTTATATTCATTTTTCAGAAACCATGGACATTTTTGGCCCACCCTGTATATATTACTAGTTCCATTTTAAATCTTCAGATATCCCAAAGCAATGATCTAACATGAAAATAAATAATGTGTAACATCCCTTCCCCCCAATCGAGACAACATCGCAATAATCCATAAACACAATAATTCACAATGGTCGGGATCCACCTTAAAGGAAACCAAATGAAAACATTGTGAGTTCAATTCCAATTTCGTAACAATTTCAGCATCATTTAGTATCCCCAGTGGTAAAACCTGAAAGGGAGAGGTGCGTTTATTGGCAAATACCCCTATGGTCAAAATGAATAATTCTTAGGTGTAACATGAAGAATAGAATGTCATATAACTCTTTGGAAAATATTTAAGTGCCCGGGCACACATAGGCTGAGATAGGGGCCATTTAGTTCAGGAAGGTTGTATTGACTTACATGGGGCTGTGCATTATTGACTTAACATGAGGATATCAGCAGATCCCAATTGAGGCCATTGGTTTCCATTGATTATCACAAAATACCAAAAATACACTTTGACCTGAATCGATTGCAAACTTAATAATTTCACAATATGACAGAAATGGTTTATCTCATCAAATGTGCAAATATGAAGTTTGCAATTGATGCTGTCCCCAGCTCCGATTTCGGTGATCGGCTAGTATAAAAGGTTTGAGGGTATCATTTTGTTCCAGACACTCGCTAGAGTAAATAATCCTAACTTGAGTAAAAATGTGTGGTAAGTAAATTCGCTATGGGCAGTTAAAGAGGCGCCATCTATTCATTTTCAAACAGGGGGTAGGGGTATAAAATAATTTTTAACACATTTTAATAGTAAAATGACATTGAAATACTAATAAAATCTTATCAAAAACATTATTTACAATCAGTATGAATTTTCTTGTGTGGATTAGGGTGAAAATAAGGGCATATCTTGAAATTCACTACAGGGGCGCCACCTATTTTCATACTTCTACCACGTTTAATAACTTATTTTAGATTCGTTAAGGTACGAAATGTACTGAAAAAATTCATTCTGAAGGACCTATATATGTTCATATCACATACTTAAAATTGGATCAATAGCTTTTGTACTGGCGGAGAAAAAAATTATTGAAATTTAAAATTGTGGCATCATGCAGGATAGGGGTGACCATATCTCACATTATTAACTTCCAAAATATGGAGCATATGTATCTCAAATGTACTCAAAATGGTGTATGTACTCTTGCTTTGTCATAATATTACTAATAAGAAGTAGAAAAATAATTGTACATTTTAAAAAATATTAATTATCATTTTGGCTTCTGATGTCCCAGGGGTGACCATATCTCACCTTAATAACTTCCAAAATATGGAGCATATGTCTCTCAAATGTACTCAAAATGGTGTATGTACTCTTGCTTTGTCATAATATTACTAATAAGAAGTAGAAAAATGATTGTACATTTTAAAAAATATTGATTCTCATTCTGGCTTCTGACGTCCCAGGCATGACCATATCTCACCTTAATAACTTCCAAAATATGGAGCATATGTATCTCAAATGTACTCAAAATGGTGTATGTACTCTTGATTTGTCATAATATTACTAATAAGAAGTAGAAAAATGATTGTACATTTTTAAAAATATTGCTTCTCATTTTGGCTTCTGACGTCCTAGGGGTGACCATATCTCACCTTAATAACTTCCAAAATATGGAGCATATGTATCTCAAATGTGCTCAAAATGGTGTATGTACTCTTGCTTTGTCATAATATTACTAAAAAGAAGTAAAAAAATGATTGTACATTTAAAATAATATTAATTCTCATTTTGGCTTCTGACGTCCAAGGGGTGACCATATCTCACCTTAATATAATAACTTCCAAAATATGGAGCATATATCTCACATGTTCTCAAAATGGTGAATGTACTCTTGCTTTGTCATAATATTACTAATAAGAAGTATAAAAATAATTGTACATTTAAAATAATATTGATTCTCATTTTGGCTTCTGACATCCCAGGGTCGACCATATCTCACCTTAATAACTTCCAAAATATGGAGCATATGTATCTCAAATGTACTCAAAAAGGTGTATGCACCCTTGCTTTGTGTAATCATATCGCACCATATAATAATAATAATAACTTCTAAGATACGTAACATATAATCCTAAAATATTCTCAGAAAAGTCCTGTCTTTTTCATATTACTAATGAAATGTAGAAAAATGATTGCATTTTTTTTTAAATTTTAATTTTAGCCTCTGGTGTCCCAGGGGCTATCTCACCTTGATAACTCTCACAATATGCAACATGTGCATCTCAAATGTGTGCTCAAAATGGTCTTGTTTTGTCATATTTATTGAGAATCATGAAATCAACAGTTCAGAATCAATGGATTTTGACTGTCTCCTCTACAGCTACATATAATTCAGGGCAAATAATATCTGCTTTCAAATATTTGCATCTGCTCCCCAAACACCCTTTACAAGTACAATGGATGAGATTATTCCCTTGCATACCTTGGACCCAACATCTTTTGTAATCCATACAGGAATCCTTTTAACCTGACAATAGTGGGAGTACTTTACTCCATTTATGAAGTAATGGCAACTGCTAATGTAAGGTGTTAATATGTTATCCTGTGGCCTGCAATATATGCACCTTGGATTATACACTGAATTAAGGGATTTTGAGTATGTAAAATATGGGAAAAGGAGCTCTTTGTAATGATAAATCTTTCTAGCCACATTAAAATTCTCTAGTTTGCATGTTTGTCATACAACATACATTGATTGTAATGAAATATTAATCTATGATTGTGATGTCCCACACTTCTAGTGTCCCCCCAAAGAAGAGATTAGCTGAACAATTGCATTATTCTTGGCACGGTAGGCCATACAGTGAATACAATTGTTGAGATTGGGCAATAACAATATAGCACATCATGACAAACCATGCAAACTAGAGAATGTCAATCAGGATTAGAAGTGACTTATCGCCCTTGTAATTTAGCAGTGGGACAGTTTGGTGTATGTTTGGGCATAAATGCGCCTTTTAGGCCTAATTTTCCAGGATGTTTTCAAAATTTCGGGTCAGATTTGGGCTTAAGGGGCCAACTTTTGTAAATGAGGCTAGGCTACTCACACTACTGATAGGCTTCCAGTATACAAAAGATGTTGCATCCAAGGCATGCAAAAGACTTATCGTCCATTGTTCCTGTAATATAAGGAGTGTTTGGGGAGAAGATGCAAATATTTGAAAGTAGATCTTATTGTCTCTGGGCTATATGTAGCTGCATCCTTCAGGGGAGACAGTCAAATCCATAAATTCTGAACTTCTGATTTCATGAATCCAATAAATATGACAAAACAAGACTATATTTATACCATTTTGGGCACGCATTTGAGATGCATATGTTGCATATCGTGAGAGTTACATCAAAGTGAGATATAATTGCCCCTGGGATGTCAGATTCAGAAGCTAAAATGAAAATTTCAATTAAAAAAGGTGTAATAATTTTTTTACATCTCATGAATAGCATTATGACAAAGCAAGACTAGCTATATGCTCCATTTTTGGTATATTTGAGTTGTATATGTTACATAATTTTAGAAGTTATTCAGGGACGTCAGAAGCTAAAATTAAAATTTTTTAAATGTATAATCATTTTCCTACTTCTTATTAGTATAATATTATGACAAAGCAAGAGTACATACACCATTTTGAGTACATTTGAGATACATATGCTCCATATCTTGGAAGTTATTAAGGTGAGATATGGTCACCCCTGGGACGTCAGAAGCCAAAATGAGAATTAATATTTTTTAAAATGAGCAATCATCTTCCTACATCTTATTAGTAATATTATGACAAGACAAGACTATATACACCAGTTTGTGCATATTTTAGATACAAATGCTCAATATTTTGGAAGTTATTAAGGTGAGATATGGTCATCCCTGAAACGTCAGAAGCCAAAATGAGAATTAATATTTTTTAAAATGTACAATCATTTTTTTTACTTCTTATAAGTAATATTATGACAAAGCAAGAGTGCATACACCATTATGAGCACATTTGAGATACATATGCTCCATATTTTGGAAGTTATCAAGGTGAGATATGGTCACCCCTGGGACGTCAGAAGCCAAAATGAGAATTAATATTTTTTGAAATTGCACAATCATTTTTCTACTTCTTATCAGTAATATTATGACAAAGCAAGAGTACATACACCATTTTGAGTACATTTGAGATACATATGCTCCATATTTTGGAAGTTAATCATGTGAGATATGGTCATCCCTATCCTGCATGATGCCACAATTTTAAATTTCAATAATTTTTTTCTCCCCCGGTACATAAGCTATTGATCCAATTTTAAGTATGTGGTATGAACATAAACAGGTCCTTTAGAATGATTTTTTTCAGTACATTTCGTACCTTAACGAATCTAAAATAAGTTATTACACGTGGTAGAAGTACGAAAATAGGTGGCGCCCCTGTAGTGAATTTCAAGATATGCCCTTATTTTCACCCTAATCCACATAAGAAAATTCATACTGATTGTAAATAATGTTTTTGATAAGATTTTATTAGTATTTTAATGTAATTTTACTATTAAAATGTGTTAAAAATTATTTTATACCCCTACCCCCTGTTTGAAAATGAATAGATGGCGCCTCTTCAACTGCCCATAGCGAATTTACTTACCACACATTTTTACTCAAGTTAGGATAATTTACTCTAGCGAGTGTCTGGAACAAAATGATACCCTCAAACCTTTTATACTAGCCGATCACCGAAATCGGAGCTGGGGACAGCACTAAATCGATTCAGGTCATACTTTAAATTAAAAGATTGTACATTTTTTCATCATTATTTTCCTACAAAATGGCTCTAGAAAAATGCTCCAAAGACAACTTTTACACTTATCAAATATCATACAAGTTTGTAAAATCAAAGATTATAATATTATATTCCATTATTTAGTAACATATTTGGATAAGATGTAGGGATGCGTAGGATGCAAATGGATTTTGATAAGCATAAAAATACTTCTTGGTTTGGAATCGATGCCTCTACAATTCATGATTGATTTTTGACCCTAATAAGTGGCCTATACATCAATACAGTGCTGAATATAGGTCAACAAAATACCAGTGTGCATATATATGTAATAATAAAGGCGGTATACTCATTTTGAAAAATCAGATGAATTAATTTTTTTTCATGGGGAGATCATAATGGAGAGCGCACTACTTCCTTTTGTAGTTAAAAATCTTTTTTTTCAGCAAAGCCTACAATGATTTCTCAAGCATTTTACAAGTATAACCTTGACCTTTTGATCACTAAAATATGGTGTCTTGATTTACAATATATACAATATATTGAACACGCCTTGCTATAGTTAATAAGCTAGGAAACATAAACCCCATATGCTGGATTCATTGAAATAGCACTACCCAAATTTGGAAAATAACAATGTCAAAATTAAAGTCTCCTTTGTCACATAACTATTGTTTAGTTCAATGTTAATAAGGAAATCAAGATAAGGTTCAGTCACAAAAGATTCATTAGGCATTTTCAATTCTAGCGGAAATTTAGCTTTATCCTACATCATCCTTGCAAAGATTTATACTTATATGAGAATGAAAAAAGTCTGCTAAAATTAAAGGACAAAGAAAGTATGCTCCCTTAAGCCGGACAAATCTTCTGCATGTATTTATGATGGACTCTCTTCAAAAACATGAGTTTAAATAGATTTTAAATGAATTCTAACGGAATTGGAGATTGACTGTTGTATTTGATAATATCTTTATTTTCTTAAATTGATCATGATGCTGGATTGGTGCTTGTCAATCAGGGCATCGTTGGTGTAGTCTTCATTTTAAGTTTCTTGCATTTCACCTTCCTACACTTCTTATTGTAACACACTGCCTTGCATCCACCGCAGTTGTTAGATCTGTTAAAATGATGTCGAATAGATGGGCTATGCATGTAACTATGACGGAGTCGTTGAAAAACACATTATTTTTTAAATAATCTGAAAGGATTCGTACAGGCACCATATTTTAATAGATAGATACTCGGAATTACTTACATGCACCGGCCCTTCTTAGGCTTCTTTATAAAACTACAGGGGTCCACTTTGCAGTCTTCAGGATAATCACAGTCTACATAAGAAGGTCCATGTGCAGTATGGCAAGTGATTTTAGACATTCATATCTTTCACCATGAGTACTTTGTGGCCATAAAAACAATGGCTTATATTAAAACAATATGTTTTCTTTCAAGTGAAGTCCCCATGATATTAAAATATCAGTCCAACTCTCTGAAAAATTATGGATTGGGCCCCACCCTGGCACTTTTTTTAAAAATGTTAGGCTTATTTTCTAAAAAAGAGGATCTTGCTTTTCTCAATTCAATTTAAACATATCAACAGTTTCTGCTACACTATATGAACAATTTCTGAAAAGGGGATGTGTATTGAAATGCATTAAAGTTAAAAACCACATATCCCATGTTATTTTCCCATAGGGAAAACTCGTGCTATCCATTGTTTTCAGCATCATTTTGGTCATCGAAAATGGATATCTTCAAAACTAGACATTCAATACAATTATATTTTTGAAAATGTTTTAGACCCTTTGTTGAATAATATTTTCATGCAATAAAAATCAGAAAAGGGAGATCCTCTTTTGAGTAAATAGGTTCAATATTTTGAAAAAAAATGTGAGAAGGGGTCCCTATTCTTAATTTTTCGAATTGTTGGATTGATATTTTTATCATCATGGGTAATTCACTTGAGAGAAAACATATTGTTTTAATAAAAAACACTGTATTTATGCCCAGAAAGTACTCATGGTGAAAGATATGACCGTCTAAAATCACTTGCCATACTGCCCGTGGTCTTTTAAGAAACATAAGCATGTTCAATACCGATATATAGTTTTTTAATACTATTCTACTGAAATGGAGCAATGGGTGTGAATTGGATGTTTTTATTATTAAAAATGTATCTAAGAGATACTGTACCCATAATACCCGATATCCACTTAAAGGGACACTTTGCATATTTTTTAGCATTTTTGGCAAAATGAAGTTTCACTTTTGATCTTCATAGTATTTCCAATGGATTGATAAGTACTTGATCTTTTATTAGACACCAATAACAGCGCAAACAGACCACGCCAGGGTTTACAATCAATTATTATAAAAGCATTTTCTATCAGTCTATCTTTATATGTCAAGTTTTTAGCTATGCCAATGAAAGATAGCGAGATTGTTTGCATCACATGATGCATTCATTTTTGATTTTTGAATTTTCAACCATACGCCATATTTTAAATCAAGTAGAGTGATTTAAAACATACACTCTGTGAAACATGGGCCTGCACCACTATGGATCTCTTAACTTCATATGCTGTTTCTATTTATACTTAGTAATTTTTTCTCAGTTCAGTATTATCCCAAATTAAAGTTTGCATCATATTTTATTGAGTGTGTGGATAACATATCTCAAATAATATTCCATCCTTTTTCTTCAAAAATATGCATATTGCCTGTTTAACATATCAATTGCCAATCTCGCTATTTAAGTTAAGGCTTGTGCGATGTGTGATATTTCTACCCTTTTTGGCCAATGTACAAGTACATGGAAGCTATATCACAGATCGAGTTACAATGATAGGGAATACTTTTGACAGTCAACCTTACGAAAAGATCTTTATTTTTAGTTCAAAGAAAATCTATTTAAGTACGTAACTTAAACAACTATTGTGAACACACCATTGCATTACATTGCGAATGAAAGCTATTGATTGCTTTTCCAACAATACTAATCGGGCATATCAACTGAAGTTTACAACAATCTATTAGAGAACAATTATATCTGTTAGATAATGTATGTTACTTACCGACTCTGCCGCAGTCAACATATCTCTTCTTCCCTAATTTGAACAGCGGATCCCAGCAGTTAGGACAATAATCGGAGCTACGTTATAAGGTACAAAAATGCAATGATCGGGGCACAATTAATATTCTTTAATATCATCAAAAAGAGTCGGTTAAAAAATGTTGAAACATATCAATACTTTTCCCAAGACTTTCTAAAGCTGATAATCCACATATATCGGTCCTACTTTTACAGTGGATCCCAGAAGTTTGGAAAATAAAAGGAACTTAATGTTTATAGTACCTACAACTTTTGTTTATTTATTTTTTTTCTTTTAACCGGCAAGTGTTTGTTTTTACCATGGCAAGTAATTAGCAACACAAACACCTCATGGACCGTGTTTTAAAGGAAGCTTCTTCTGTGGTTTACAGATGCCATCTTATAGTAATGAAGGATCGCATCAAATCTTTCAATATAATCGATACGGAATCGGGTTTACTAAAACTCCCAAGGTTGTACAATGCACATGAAAACATAATTCAAAGGTATACGCCTATAGGTTTAAAAAGAGAATAGATGACTTACACACATTTAGCACGGGGGCAAGCAGGGCAGTCCGGGCGAACCCTTTTGTCACACGGATCAGTCACACATGTTCTGATCTCATCTGGGCATTTCTCGGGTGGTTTATAACCTATTTGAAAATACTGTTATGATTTCATATTAAGCTCAAACAGTCGATATGCTAAAAAATGGTAACGCTATTAAAAAGTTTGAATTTCGGAAACATAATCATAATCGAAATTCATTAGCGGAGTGTTAGCTACGATCATATTATCATAGAAAAGTGTCTATGGGAATTGATTTAAATTAAGCAAACGACGATACATTCATGAGATCTCGTTAAGCTACGTTCACACCAACGGCGCTTTGATGGCGCTTTTAAGCGGCTTGTAAAGCGGCACCAAAGCGTAACAAAGCTTGATTAAAGCGTCGGGGTCGTAATAGGTCGTAGAAAAGTTCGGAGTTAAGCGGGATATTCGGCAAGAGCACTAAAAATGTTAACTGTTCAAGCTACGTTTGTACCAACGGCGCTTTGATGGCGCTTTAAAGCGGCTTGTAAAGCGGCACCAAAGCGTAACAAAGCTTGATTAAAGCGTCGGGGTCGTAATAGGTCGTAGAAAAGCTCGGAGTAAAGCGGGATATTCGGCAAGAGCGCCAAACATTTTTAAAGCTACGTTCACACCAACGGCGAATGCCACGCTATTTTTGTTTACTTTTCCAAAAATATCACGATCTCCTAAGTAATGTTACGCTCTGATAAGCTCTGATGCGCTCTGATTTCCCGACTTGTTATGGTTCCTCACGCTATGATCCCGCTTCGATCAGGCTTTGTTACGCTTAAAATCACGCTTTGATAAGCTTTGGTAAGCATTATTACGCTCTGATGCGCTTTAATCAGGCTCTGATACGATTGTCACGCTCTGTTGTGCATTTTCGAGATCACCTTTATCATGACGCTTTTGATCAAATGGCAGTATAAAGATGCAGTAGATCCATAAAACCATTGCATCTTTGACTCGAAAAGACGATGGCAGAACAACATGATCCAGAAATCCAGATGGACCAGATTATGACCTATCTGAAGAAGACATGATGTTTGTCGCACGGCGTGAAAGAGCGTGAGAGAGCGTGAGGAAGCTTTTCAAGCGAAACAAAGCTTAACAAAGCGTTTCAATCCTTGATTAAAGCGTCTCAATTCGTCAAAAAGCTTGAGAGTCCTTCATGAAAGCGTAACAAAGAGTGTCAGATATTGATGAAAGCGTCTGACCTCGTGTCAGATCTTCATGCCAGATCGTAGCAAAGCTTAAGACATCTAAACGAAGCGTGACAAGTGGTAACAGACCGTGAAGAGACTGGGGTCCCCGCTTTGAACCAAGCTCTGTTAAGCTTTCCTACGCTTTGAGTCAAGCTTTGCTGAGCTTTGTTACGGTTTCTGAAGCAGTGATACGCTTTCGGCGCTTTAATCAATTCGTAACGGAGCGCCCAAAATTTTTGAACAGTTTAAAAAATGTTGGCGCTCTTGCCGAACATCCCGCTTTACTCCGAGCTTTTCTACGACCTATTACAACCCCGACGCTTTAATCAAGCTTTGTTACGCTTTGGTGTCGCTTTACAAGTCCCTTTAAAGCCCCATGCTTTGGTGCCGCTTTGCTCCCCGATTTAAAGCGTGGCATTCGCCGTTGTTGTGAACGTAGCTTTAGGGAATAAGGCCTGTATGGCCATGGACATTTGCATAAACAAAGTATTATTCGGCGAAGTGTCGACTCATTCTACTTACTTTTCATCATGGGCTTCTGTGTTGTCAAAGGAGTTGTTGTTATTACATCTGTTTGATCTAAAACAACAGATACAAGCTTGTTTCATAGGGGTTGAAGGCAGAATCAGATTTAGCAAGTATTTATCATTATCGCCATCATGACCTGACGAATATTGTTTCAATTTTATCATTCCTTTTATGTCCATTTTCTAGAAAATACCAAAAGTATAAATTTCATTTGAGTAAAACTAAACATTTTTACAAGAACACATTCGTTTGTCTATAAATATGTATTAACATTTTGTCCCAGTTGTGCACTTTAAATTTTAAATAACCTCATGAATTGATAACATATTACGGATCTTTTGGGATCATAGTTGAGCTTGTAAGGAATCCGTAGGTCAATTGTACATATTGCTTGCAATTTTGTTACCCCCTGTAGATCTGATTCTGCCTTTAACATTAGCAATAGCGTATTGAAGACATCCCAACACGCAGGGGTTCATTTAATGTTTTACTGGTAACACCAGAATAAAAATATCTTTAAAATGATATATGAATCTTCATGTATTAATAAATTGTTTTTCATGCAGAGAAGATGCTGGTCTTGACACCTTGTATTATTTTTGTTTATTTGGTACCAAAGTGTAGACTTACTCGTCATAGTTTCCTCTGTCGTCTTCACAGCTTCTTCTTGTTCTACAATCCAAGGTTTGTTGTATGAAAATTAATTTTCTCATTGCTATTTAACAGTAAAATTATTCATCAGATATTCTACGATAATGTCAATCAGTCAAGTGTTCTGTCCAAGTCATATAAGGACCTATACCCACTCAGAGTTTAAACAATGAGTGCTTTGATCTAGTTGGTCTAGTTTAGCTACAAGCCCTTGTAACCCCTTGCCCCCCCCCCCTACTACAACAAGTGTGTGAATAAGTGGATAGTCAAGTAGAAGGGGAGGGTCACATAAGCTTATAGCAAGACTAACTTAAATGAGCTGTAAGGACCCTTGGGCACGTCCGTCGGGAGCTGGAGTGTAACAAGCCAGATCCTAAACCCGAAAGGAAGTGTGCTAAATTCAATGCTTAGTGCGGGAATCGAACCCAGGACCTTCCACTCCCGAGGCAGACGCTTTACCGATTCGGCCATAAAGACTAGCCACTAGACTGTAGTAGCGACTTGCTGTCGAAGGTCATTACACAGCC